GGAGCCGGTGTCCGTTTACAGTGCATCTCTCATAAACCCGGCGGCGGGGGCGAGGGCAGGGGGACCGGCCCTCCTGGTATGTGATTGATTATCTGGTATTTATGCCATTGAGGACTTTTCAGCGGCTCGGGGTCAAGAGGTCATCTCATGTGTCTTGCTGCAAATCCGCTTCCTTTTGTACAGTGCGGGCTGGGTGAGCAGACACACAAAAACAGCTTTTTCTTTTCCTTGGGAAAAAGGGGAGGGGGGCGGGCTGGTGTCAATGAATTTTTTTTTTCAGCCTTTCCTGAATAGTGTCCTTTTTAATTCCAAAGAACTTTTAATTAAAAGTAGCAGGAAAGTTCATCTCGACAAGGTTTAACTTACCTTAGCAGTTACTTTTGTCCCCCGGGATTCACGTCTCCCCGCTTTACACAAAACCCCCCAAGAAACGGGGCAGAGGCTGCTCTTGGGGCCGTTTTGCGGCTCCCCGGGTTTACCAAGGGGCCTTTTCATCTTTTCTCTCTCTTTTTCTTAATGGTGGGGGTGCAGCAGCACAAGCAGATGCTGCGAATCCCGGCTTTGTGCCTCACGGCAGCAAAAAGAGTCATTTCATCAGCTGCGATGTGAACTAGGGCTCCATGGGGACAGAGGATGCCACAGTGGTGCCAGCCTGGCTGGGAGAGATCCACGAGTGGCACGGGTGGGTGATGGGTGGGATGTGCCAAGCAGGGTGGTGGTGATGGTGGTAGTGATGGTGATGATGGTGATGGTGATTTCCCATGGGGTGGGATGCTACAGTGCACCACAGAGGGCAGGATGTAATGCCGCTGACCAGGGACAGCATTGGTGTTCCCTAAAACCCTCCTGGCAGGGAAAAGCGTGTGCCCACCGAGATGTGCCCATTGGCAAATACTCATGGTGGAGAATCTTTGGCCAGAAAGACCTGGAGGGTGCTCCTGGTGGTCCAGAAGTGCTGGGTGAGGGTTTGGTCTCCTCACCGAAGGTCTTTGTTTAAAGATGAAGCTGTTTCTAATGCATCAGTTTAACTCTGCTTCAGAAAGCAATGGGGAAAATACACTGGGTTTTCTGCAGAAAGTCGGATTGTTTTTTCAGCTGGTTTCACTCCAAATTCCAACTGGGAAGAGGAAATCTGGGAAGCCGGCGCAGTGACAACGAGTAAGCGAGTAGATGACAGCTTCCCTTCTGATGTGGTGGACAGAAGCCCTGCTGCAGTTTGCCTCTGGCCGCCCCGGTGAAACGCTTGGCCTCGGGAAGGGCAGGGATGGTTCTGCAATGTGTGGCTTCCTTAGGCATGGCAGGGATGGTTGTGGTGCTCCCCAGCATGGAGAGAGATGGGACAGGCTTAGGGGAAGGTGGCAGTGAGAGGTGTTGCACATAGATACCCAGAGTGGGTTACTTACTGTATTCCTGGTGTTACAGGGCTTCCTGTGAGTGTGGTTTGTTGGTACCATAATGCCTGATGGGTTCTGGAAAGGAAAGGGTGTCTCCGTGGGTGCGCTATGTTCTTGGCTATATGTATTATATATATATCGATATATTTTGATAGATGCTACAATGAAGAGGCTTTAGGGACTACAGCTTGGGGCGGAGGGCACGCCCCCGGCCTTCACCAGAGGGCTTTAGGGTTTGTAAACATCTTCAACCAACTGTTTGGCCTGAAACCCCAGAAAGTAGGTTCAAAAGCACAGTGCACTGTAGGTGCGAAGCATCCGCAGTGCATTCCCGGGCTCCCGTGGCTTTGGGAGCTCGGGAAACTCTCGCCTCCCCCAGCTGGGAGGTGGAAGTGCAGTGTAATGGGGCTGGCCCCTAAAACCTTCCTCTGGTTTCCCTTTCTGAGTGTGAGGTTTGCGCAGCACTTGGTTCCTTCAGGAGAGAAACCAGCTCATGCTCTGTTAATGTAGGTTTGGGGAGTGCTGAGCACGCCCCATCCTTCCAGAGGGCAGGATGCTGCTGGATGCTGCAGCAGCTGAAGCAGAGAAGCAGCACTTCCCACATACTGTGAGAAGGGCTTGGGCAGATGCCTGGGGATGGCCTGTCCCCTGTGCCTGGATCGATGCTGTCCCCAGGGAGCATCCTCACAGGGCAAGGAGCTGCCTGCATCCTTTCCTTTGCAGGCAGGGCTCCGTGCGTGAGCTGCACATCCCACCCCAGAGACAGGGGACGTGCCACGGTCCTCCTTAGCAGCCAAACCCCCCATCCCAAATGTATCCCTCGATTAAGGCTCGCTTGCAGCCGCGGGCTGCCTGGCAGTGCTTCACCCAGCGCGGGTCCAGCTGCTGCCGTGATTGACGCAAAGCCAGTCTATAAATAAAGTCTTTCTCTCCTCTCATAAAGACTTCGCGGTTTAGTTTGCTTTCAAGGTCAAGATCAGACCTTTCTAAATAAACACATATCAAAGGATCATTAGCGGAGCAACTCTGTTAAATTGAGATATTAACTTCTGTCAGCCGCGCGTTTCCTTTTTGTTCTGTAACTCACGACTGTGGCGGGGTTTTATTATTTTGGCCCTAGGCGGTAGCATCTGGCTTCTGTAGAGACTGTAAAAATTAAAAAGCAACACAAATCATTGCGAGAGAAAAGCAGTAAATTCAATGATAAGAATTTCAAATTAAAATGTTTCGGCGCTTTTATATTCCACGAAACATGAAACGAATGAGTTGTGTGCCTGTTGCCATAAAGCCGCCGCCGCTAATAGTCGCTGGGCTCTTTCCTCCCCGCTCGCTCTCCCTCGTAATCGTTCTTGCCTGAGCAATCGCAGAACGGCGCAGTGGAGGAAGGTGGTGGTGATGATGATGACAATAGTGATGGTGATGGGGATTGTGGTGATGGGGATAGGGGCGAGCAAAGGACCCTCTGAAAGGGAGGTGAGAATGGAATGCTCCCATCCCACTGCGCTCAAAGGGAGATGGAGAGGTTGAGCAGGGAGGATGTGATAATGCAATGGTCACTGGGGCACGGGACCATATTGTCCCCCAGGCCCAGGTGGTCCCTGGAATAAAGTAGCCTGGCAGGCACGAGCCACCCATGCCAGAAATGCTCCTGGGATTGCTGCCTGTGCTTCAAGCATCCTCCACATGCATCCCAAGCTGGTGATGGGCTGGGTGGGAAGCATCTTGTGCATCACTGCCGGAGCAGGAAAGGAAGCATTTAGGTTTGGGCTTGAGTTTGCTTAAGCATTGGTACAATAGGGAGTAGGTGCCAGGGGCGGGGGGGCATGCCCGGCCCTCCTGTTGCAGCCAGGGCAGCCGCATCCAGCCTGGCCACATCCAGCCTGGAGGAGAAGCAGCAGCATCCCTGGGGCAGGCAGCACTGCATGCTTCTTAAGAATTAATTTCCTGTAGTCAGCTAAAGTTGGGAAGAAAGCTGCCTTATCTCGGAGTAAATAATAATAATGAAACAAATGCCCCCTTGGGAGAAGTTGCCTTCCATAAAGATGTTAATTAGTGCAGAAGCTGAGCCACGGAGTCCAGAGGCAGCCTTTGAAACCGGGATGATTTGGTGACTGTGGCACAAAACACATGTCTTGTGTGGTTATCATCTGGTTTCCCTCTTTCCCCCCCCTTTCTACTTAACCGTGAAGGTTGTTGGGCTGTTGGGCTCCAACCAAGCAGCTGGCACATAGTGGGTGCCCCCTCAGCACTAGAGCAGTGGGGGGATAAAGGGCTGCCTCTGCCATCCTGACATGACACCCTTAAAAACCCATGCATCTGTGTGTGCAGGCATTGCTTATCCCACAGCAGCATCCCAGGAAGGGCTCCTTTGCCCTGCTCCGTGGGTTTGCCCCTGTGATGCCACCAAAAAATGCTTCTTTTGGTTTCATAATAATCCTGAAAACAGACACTGAAACTGGGTTAATCTTCTTACCCCAAGCAGTGTGCATCCCCTGCCTTCCCAGGGCAGAACCCAGGGCTGATGCCATCCTGGGATGCTAGTGATCACTGCTTCTACCTGTCCTTCATCACCCATCCTCCTCCTCATTGTGGTGCCAGTGGGACATGCGCAGCAGCTCCAGAGAGCCCTTCGTGCCAAGCTTTCCCACAGGAGGCTGGGAAGGGGGTTACCTGCGGCTCTCCAGCTGCAGTCACCGATAGTTTCTTCCTGCCCTAATGCTGCTTTCCATGTACGGCAGCAGCCTGCAGCCTCCCCTGCAGTTGCAGCCAGCAGCATCGTCCGGGAGGTGGAGGCTGGTAGGGAGCCCTTGACACGCTGACAAAAACACGTCAAACGTCCCTGAAATCTCATCTCAGGGAGCAAACAGCCCTTGGGTCCTGCTCTGCGTGGCCAGAATGCTTTGGAGCTCTCTGCCTCAGCCCCAGCGGATATTTTGATTCACTTCTGTGGTGCGAGCATCACGTAAGAGGTTGCATTAAATATGAAGGTGGAAGGAGGAGCAAGTCTTGTCAGAGACCTGAATTTGCAGGGCATGACTTGAGGGTTTGGGGGTTTTATGGTGGGTGAAAAGGGCAGTGATGGGCTCTGTTAGCATCCCTCGATGCCTGCACCCTCGTGCCTGCTGTACCATGGAGCTCTCCTCATGTACACCTCCGCAGCTTTTGATTCCAGGTTCCTAATCCTATTGATTATTGCTGCGGTGGATGGACACATCTGCCTCATTTTCGAGTCTCATAGCATGCTCTGAGGAACGACAGGGAAAAGATGGCAGCATCAAGAGGAGGATTCAGGGAGGAGCACTTGGCTTTGCGCATCCCAACCGTGCCTGGAGACTGCCAGAACCGTGCTGGGCTCTGCAGAGGGTGCTCCAGTGGCACCGGTCCCCTTGGTCCCCTCCTTGCCACCGGAGCATTGCCAGGGGTCTGGGGACTGGCAGGGAGCTGGGAGGATGGCGCACGCGTGTGTGCACACGCACAGGGGGAAGAACTTGAAGTCAAATGTCTGAAAGTCAGATCCCTTTTTAGTATGAATTTGCTGTATCTCATTCTGAGCACTAATTCCAATTTAATTGCAAGTGGCCTGAAGCCTCTTCAATAGGAGTAACAAATGGTTTGATTTTGTAAACTTCATCAGACTGCATTTTAAATGCGACACACTAGCCCGGCTCGAATGCCAATGAAGCACTGAAGTAGCTCTCTGTTTACTAATTATCCGTTTTTACTTCAAGCCACGCTGGCTGGCTTGTCTGATTAAATCGGATTTGTGGGATAGAGAACAGCTAGCAGAGTTTTCTCTATAGTAAACGAGATTGAAACTATGGGCCGCCTGGCTGCACACTGTAAATTATATTTCCTTTTAAAGGGGACGTGTCGCCTTTCTCCCGCCAGCGCACCTCCCGCATCCTAAACTGGGCTCCTCGCCGGCACGGAGGGAGCCCACCCTAACCCATCACCACACAGGGGTTTGCTCTAATCCCTCCTCCCGTGGAGGCAGCGGCCTCAGTGCCGTGGTGCCTGCAGCATCCCCGCCATGGCTTGGACAGGGGCGGAAGCACTCCTGGCTGTGACACATTGCATCTTGCTCATCTTTACATCACACAGTTGTGCTCCTTTGGGATGAAGCTGCTGGAGGACCGGAATGTGCGCCTCCATCCTTGCAGCTGTAGGGTTCTTTTTCCCTCCAGCGCTCATCATCCCCTAAAAAACACATTTCAGACCACCTGCTATTTAAAACTGTCGTGAGATGCCCAACTGGCATCCAAACCCAACCTGCTCTGGCTCCCGCCTCCAAAGCCGGCGGCAGCGCCAAGAGCCGCCCCGTTAATAGGTCATGGCTGATGGTGACTGGAGGCAGGTCTGCCAGACATACACCGCACCAGGGGAGATGGGCGAAGGTGGCTGCCGAGCGCAGTGTGCCAGGGCAGCGCTGCACCTCCTCGGTTGCTAGGCCCGGTTTGTGAGCTCGACCTGTGCCACCCCCCCCCCCAGTGTCTATTTTGTGCCCGGGGGCTTTTTATATTTTAATTTGCTTTTGAGCATCCTGCAAAATTAATGGTGTGCTCGGGGCCATTGTGCGCTGTACAGTAGAGGGAAGGGCCAGCAGCGCCCGCCGGGAGCCGGCGCGTTTCCCGGGGAATGAATTGCTCGCCCGCCTTCACCCCTTTTAATTGTTGACAGTAAAAAGCGTTTAAATGCCGCTTAATTTGTAATCATCTTCCTGCAAAAAGGGGAGAAACCATTAAAACGTCAGGGAAATGAATAAATCCGTCTCTCACTGGTTTGGGGCGGCGGCGTTCCTTTATCGGGGGTGATTTTTCTTCCGATGGCTGAGGCTGGCTCGGGATGCACTTGGGGTGGGAGCAGAGGGATGCGCTGCGGCTCGGACACCGGGCGAGTCTCCATGTTGCCCGCTGCGGCTCTCCTTGTGGCAAGCACACCCTCGCATGAGCTTTCCCATCTTTTCCCACCTCCCATCCGCTCTCCAAAGGAACAGGGACACGGATGCACAGCCATCCTTCATACTGGGCTGGCACCAGCCTTCACAACCCGTGGAAGGTCTGCTCTTGGAGGGTGGTTGACACTGGGTGCCCTGCGAGCTGTGCTGGTGGAATTTGACCTCCCCATTCAGGGTGTTGCGTTATTTACTAATGCATCACCTAAAAACCGAACACAATTCAGAAGTGCCTTTTGCAGGTTGTGGCGAGCAGCACCGCTGGGGGACACCCAGCCCGGGGACACCAGCACCGTCCCCATGGACCGGTGGGTGCATCTCCCATGCGTGCACGAGGCAGCTCGTCCCCATCGAGCCGGAGTCAGAACGTTCTTCTTTCAAGCGGGGGCCAATTAGTTTCACAAATGAGGGCCCTACGGTGCCAGGGAGGATTTGTTACGGCCCCGCGCGCCGGCCGGCGGCATTGTCCTGCCCTCCGCCCCCACGGGAGCCCATTGTCCCTGGCCCCAGCGGGGGCTGCTGCCGGCAGATTTATCGGGGCCGGCGTCCCGCCGGCCGGGGCCTCCGCTCCACAGCTGGCCGCGGCGCTGGGGCTCAGCCCCGGGGACCTTTGACCCGTCCTGCTGTCACCGCCGGGGCCGCCGAGGGCCGCGGGGCCGCATACCTCTTGGGATTTGCTCCGCACGGCCCGCTCGCCGCTGCCGCCTCCTTCTTTATTGTTTTGATATGTTTTTTTGTCTCGGGAGCGTTTTGTCCGCAGCTGCGTGGGGGGCACGGAGCCCGCTCCCCCCCGGAATAAATCCCTGCGAAGGCAGAAAGGCAGCTCCCGTGTGGGGCTGCCTCTTGCTGCTTTTATTCCCCTTTCACTGGCGGTTTTGCAGATTTCGAGGCGTTTCTGGGCAGCCTCACCAGGGCTGGGGCTGAGCATCCCTGCGCAGCTCCTGCATCTCTGGAGCCACAGCGTGCCACCGCCCATTGGTGGGTGACAGCGCGATGCCGGCACGCATGGACATGTCTCCTTGCTGCCCATCGCCTGGCTGGTCCCATGCCAGAGGAGTGGAGCTGGCCAGGAGGATGCTGCCAGTGCATCCTTAGCCAGCACCTGCCTGCATGCCAGGCAGGATTGCGGCACTGGCACCGCTGCAGCAGGTGCCCACTGCTCCGGGGTGTGGTGGCACCAGTATGGTCCCCAAGGCTGGTTTTGGCAGTGTGGCAGGCAGCTCCCCCACCCTGCTGTTCCCAAAGGCAGTGCAGATCCGTTGGTTACCGTGAACATCTTGCTGCTGCTAATGAATTGCTAATACAATTTTCTAGATAATTTTATTTCCATAGTCCTCACATTTTAATGTCTCCAAAAAGCTCACGTTTATTTGCTTAATCTCCCTGTGTAATACAATTTGCACTGACACACAGGTTCTGAACAATCAGCTATGCATAAACGAAAACAAATAGTTTAATAACACAAGGGTCTGATATTTTTATTGGTGGCGTATAAGGATCTGGGTTGAGGTGGCTTTCCCTGCTTTTGCTGTTGTTTTGTTGCAGCCTGTTTTATACCCATGGCTGGTCAGATGGAGCCTGTGTTTGTACCGAGGCTCAGGACTGCAGGCGATGCATCCAGCCCCTGCTCTCTGACTGCTTTTTAGGGTGATTCTTGGGTTCCCTTTTCCCCTGGGCATTACAAGGTCTGAGCTCTGCAGCTCTCGCAGGTGCATGGGGAGGTGGTGATTGACCAACAGCTGCCTTGCATTGCGGCATCCCAGGGCTGGGGCTTCCAGCTTCCTCCAAGGCAATAAAAGCCCCCTCCCTTCCACTGCTGCTTCTTTTCTAGGGCCAGCAGCAGCAGGGTTGGGGTGGCCACAGCCCTCGAAGACACAAGCCGGAGCCCCGCAGCTTTTGGGGTCCCCACTGCTGCCAGAGCATCACTGCTGCTGGAGCACGCAGGGTCCCGAGGTGGGGCGGTGGTGCCAGCAGTGCCTAAGCTGGATCTCTCCCTCTCCGGCAGGTACGGACATGGCTGTTTTCTGCCTGCTGTGTGGCAAGCGGTTCCAGACGCAGAGCGCCCTGCAGCAGCACATGGAGGTGCACGCCGGGGTGCGCAGCTACATCTGCAGCGAGTGCAACCGCACCTTCCCCAGCCACACGGCGCTCAAGAGGCACCTCCGCTCGCACACAGGTACGGCGCGGGGCAGCTCTGCCCCAGGTGTGGGGGGAAAAAAGGGACAGAAAGGTGCAACTGTCCTCAGCGTGTCGAGGCAACGGCGGTTGAGGCTGTTTGGAGTTAAAAGTGGAAAACAAGCAGCATGTAAGAAGCAGATCGGGTATGAGGCAGCATGTGACCTCCTTAGGGGCTGCACGATCACACCCGCTCATCGGCTTATGGGTGGTAGATGCACATAATCAGCTGGTGCTGGGCCCTAATGGGATTAGGGTGACCTGCACAACGTGGAGCTGGTGCTCTGGGGCACTGCCCGGTGCTGTGCAGCTCTGCTGTGCACTGCAGCCAGCACCACAGCTCTCAGCAGCCTTCCTCACCCGTCCAACATCAGTTGGAGGCTCGTGCACCCTCCTTGTCTGTGCTTTTGTTGCTGGCAGGGTGCAGAATGGGTGCCAGGTCAGGATGCCCCCTCTTTTCTCCTGTTAACAGAATGTGCATACAGCCTCAAAAGGGGGCATGGAAGTGGCTGCTGGGGTTGTGCAGGCAGCATCACAGAAGGGTTGCTGTATCCAGGCTGTGGCCAGCAGCTGCCAGACCCACACGTGGGCTTGGGCTTGGGGTCCTGGCGTGGGGAATGTGAATCATGTGCCGATGGTAAGCACGTTAATGCTGAGTGCTGGAGCTATTTATAGCCGGTAATCCGGTGACCTGGGCTGCGGGTCAGGCCATGCGTGTCCCACCGCAACCTCTGCTGCTTCAGCAGCTCCTGGCTGTGAAAAAACACCAGGATCTTCGGTGCTGTGGGGGTGTTTAGGTATGCTGAGTGGCTGCATCCCACCCAGATGCAGGATGCTCGTGCTCCTCCTGGGGCCGGAGCACTGCCTGGCTCCCATTTACATGGAGTCTCCTAAAAATGGAGCACATGGATGTGCTGCCTGCCGCAGGCTGCAACATCTTTGACTATAGGATCAAAACCCAAGGTGATCATTTGGAACTGGGCACAGGGAGGTGAAATACAGCAGCCAACAGGCACTGCCTGCCTCGCCTTTCAGGGGGGGTCCAAAAGGTACCCTTAGCATCCTCCTCCTCCTCCTGCAGTGCCCAGCCAGGGGCTGCAGGACTCTGCTGCGGCACACGGGGAGAGAGTAAAATATCATTTTAAAGAGGAAGCGAAAGCGCAGGGATGTGAGTATATAACGAGAAGGACAATTTATGCCCAGGCACGAGTGCAGTTTGACACGGGGATAATGAAAAAACGTAGGTCATTGTGGATGACTTAAGCCTTCACAGCTGAAGAAAATGTATGAAATGCGGGGAACATTACACGCTTGGCAGCTCCGCACATCTGCAGCAGGACAAGTGAAATACAGTTCGCCATTCTTTACCATAAACTGTGCTTGTAGGGTATGCAGCACAGAGAAATTGTAATTACAGTGACAAGACAAATCAGTAATATTTAAATATTCATGAACAAAGTCTCGGACGATCAATCTATCTTTATTGTCCTTGCCTTCGCGGCTGTAATAAATAAGTAGCTGGAGCCCTCACCTTTCCTTCAAATCATTCTGCCTTTGGTGCCGAACCAGAGTTCATTTATCAGCCGCCCAGTCTGGAGCACAGGAGACGCCCGGGGCTGGGTCTTTGCCAGGTGGAAAGGCTGGGAATTGGCAGTGGGGTGGTCGCAGTGCCCCCTGTTCACCAGACCTTGCTGCAGACCCCAGCGTGAGGATGCAGGGACCGGGGTTCCGTGCTGGGGTAGCTGGGACACCCCTGGGGTGGTGGCAGTGGGTGCTGGGGTATCTCAATGCTGGGGCTTTGACCCCCCCCGTGCTTGCAGGTGACCACCCCTACGAGTGCGAGTTCTGCGGCAGCTGCTTCCGGGACGAGAGCACGCTGAAGGGCCACAAGCGCATCCACACCGGCGAGAAGCCCTACGAGTGCAACGGCTGCGGCAAGAAGTTCAGCCTCAAGCACCAGCTGGAGACCCACTACCGGGTCCACACAGGTACAAGCCACGGGGGCTCTGCGGTGAGGCTGGCAGTGCTGGGCTGGTCCCCTGGTGCCGGAGCGGTCCCCTGGCAGAGATGCTGGCAGCATGGACCAGGGCGGCGGTGGGCGGGGGTAACAACTCATCGGATGTGCGGCGCGTAGCTGCTGTAAATAGAGGATCAATAGTCAGATGGGTTTTGCTGTTCATTACCCGGCTATCGGCTCTCGAAGCTGGGCAGTTAATTACAGCCCGGAGGCCGTGGGCCCCTGCTGATGCCCCATCTCCCACAGGCGAGAAGCCCTTCGAGTGCAAGCTGTGCCACCAGCGCTCCCGGGACTACTCGGCCATGATCAAACACCTTCGGACCCACAACGGCGCTTCCCCCTACCAGTGCACCATTTGCCTGGAGTACTGCCCCAGCCTCTCCGCCATGCAGAAGCACATGAAGGGCCACAAGCCAGAGGAGATCCCCACCGACTGGCGGATAGAGAAGACCTATCTCTACCTCTGCTACGTCTGAGGGAGGAGGCAGCGGGGCCGAGTGGCAGAGGACTGGGCAAAAAAAACCAACACCAAATCTGCAGCGTCCACGGCCTTGTTTTGTTTTCGGTTCTCGTTCATTGCTTCTCACCGGGAGGATCCCGTGGCTTGCGCCGGGGCACGGGGACGCAGCGGCCCCTTCCCGGCCCCATCCGCGCCCCCTCCCCAGCTGCTCGTGCGCCTGCTGCCCCTGCCCCCTCACTATGGGGTGGCCCTCGCCCCTTGCAGCCCCCTGGGAACTTGCTCCCCAGCCAGCCCCTCCATCACCACTGTTGCCAGCCATTGGTGCTGCCGGGAAGACCATGTGGAATGATGCACTTCCCCGGAGGCGTGCGTATGGCCGGTGCTTTGGGAAGGCTTCAATTTCTGGTGTCCACTGTCACCACATAGACCCCACCATGAGTGCCCCGCAGAGGACCCGAGCTCACGTGTGGGTCTTGGACCCCATTTTGGGATGGCTCCCTTGCTGCCAGGCTGCAGCATCGCAGGTGGGAGAGTGCCAGCATCAGGCGAGCCGTGAGTGCACTGGTGAGAGCATCCCGGGGATCCCGGCCAGAGGAGGGTGTTTGGGGTAGGGAGCCCGCTGCCACCCTCCCCTGACCAAAGACCTCTCTATGCATTTCCCCTTCCCGGGGGGTGAGGGCAAAGCGCCTGTGGGGAGGTGCAGCCGGTTTGGTGATGCGCAGTCGGTGGCACCGTGGGTGCTGCCGGTCCGCAGCACCGCAGCCAAGGGGAGGATCCTCTTTCTCCTGCTCACTGGGGCGCTGGGGGTGCCGAGCGTGGGTTTTTGCCCGGGCTCAGCTGCAGGAGCCGCAGGCGAGGGGCGCCCAGCGGCTTTGCTCGCCGCTGCTTTTGCTTTTCGTTGGGTTTCGTTGAACTTTCTTTTTGGAATGTTTCCGCATTTAGCACATTTTACTTGAAATTACCTCGGTTTTTTGTGACCTCATGAGCTTTTATTGATTTGGGGGGACGGGGGAAGGCGTGGCCCGGAAGGCACGTGCCTCCCGTTGTGCATTATCCTTACCAAAACTGGTATTTTTTGCCCAGCCCCATGGGGCTGGGGGCGTCAGTTCTGAAGCTACCTCTTGTGTTGGTTTTTGTTGTGTTGCTCCTTGGCGGTCGTGGGCTCCACGGGCTCCGACCCGTGGGGTGCTGGTGGCCGTGACTTGGGTTTGGGTTTTTTTGTCATTTTGCTGCGTTTGGGTGAAAAGGGGGGAGGGAGAGTCAGGGCGAGCGGAACGGCGCCCGGATGCGCTCCAGAGGGTGCCAATGGCCCCTCTCGGTTTGGGGTGCCCGTCCCGCCTCTCCCGATGCCGAGCAGGGATGCTGCTGCAGGAGCAGCACCCTCCCTCACACCCCAGCCCGGTTTTGCACGCGTGTGTGCCTCCGTGTGCGGGTCCTTCGCTGCTCGGCGTGGGGTGGACGCTGCTGTTGTACAATCCGGGATGTGACTGTGGAGAACGGCTTGTTGAATTGTTGTGCCTAAGAAAAAATGGAAAAAAAAAAAAGAAAAAAAAAAGAAAAAATATAGAAAACTATAGACAGACCCCCCAGTTCTTTGACACGGGAAGTTGCTGCAATCCCTGGCACGTGCGCGGTCACTGCCTGCGGTGCCGCGGGTGCCACGGTGCCGCGGAGCACATGGCCGAGCTCATGTGGCTTTTTTTTGCTTTAACGTCCCCTCCCATCCTGCTGCCCCACTCTCTTCCTCTGTGTCCTTGTACCGCAGCCTCCCAGCTGCAGTGGTGTTGGGCTCGGCGTCGGAGCGGTGCCGCCGCCCCCCCTATATATATAGAAGTCTATCTATGTGTATCATAGCAGTGAGGACCAAGCGCCCCGCAGGGCCCCGCAGCCCCGGGCTCCCTCTCCCCTGGCTTGTTGTCGGTGTCGTGAGCGCCCGCCCGTCCCGTTGCTCTGTGTTGCCGCTCGCTCGTGGTCCGGGTCTGTCGCTGTCCTCGTTCCGTCTACCTCAGCACCTCTCTGAGCCCGGGCGCAGAAGGTGCCCCAGTTCCCCGTGGGTTTTCTCAGAGTATCTATTGGCTCCTATTTTTTGTACGACTTGGGCCCCCTCCCCGCGCCGTTCGCTCCCGTGCGGTTCTGCTTGCGAGTCCTCTCTGTCCTCTAGCCACAGATGCCGTTAGCTAAAAGTTTCCTGAAAAAATAAAGAAAAAAAAGAACAAAAAAAAAAAAAAAATGAATAAAAACCGTTGTGGTGTCTCCTAGTTGCAGCTCTCCGCATCTGCCTTCGTCCTGTGTAGATTCAGATGCATTTCTTTGTAAGACTTCAGTGTTTCTGACAGAGGAATAAAAAAGACAAAAAAAAAAAAAAAGGAAGAAGAAGAATAATATACTGCTGCAGGTTTTTTTCTCTCCATGTGTCACTAAGTGAAGTTCGTGCCTTCTATAGCAAAGAGAATATTTTTTACATCCTACTAACGGTAGATTTTTTTGTAGTGAACATTTTTTGTATTTTTATTTATAAGTCTCATAAGGAAAATAGCAATGTTCAGTTGTATACCTTGAATCTGCAGTTAGAAAACAAAAAACAACCAATAAAGTTAATTCCGTTGTCTCGGCCTGATGTCTCCCGTTCCTGTGCCTGCGTGAGGAGGAAGAGGAAGGAAGCACCCAATCAGCGTGGGGCGAGCCGCGGGGGGACCACAGTGGTGAGTTCTGGGGTGCTGGGGCTGTGCAGGGGGGTCCCATCCCTAAACCAACCCCGATGGGCAGGGGATGCTGACCTCCCTGCGGGTGGGGAGCAGTCCTGCACCCACGTCCCGGGATGTGCAGCTTCCCATCCCGCAGCGCTGCCCGCGCCGCTGCCTGCCTGCCTGCGCAGCTCACCAGGGAGCTGAGCAAGTTTGCCTCAATGAAAGTGAACTCGTTCATTTAAACCTGACTGCAGAGTAGTCTGGCCCCCCGCTGCGTTAATTATCCTGTAGTTCTCGACTGATTGCTGTACACTAAGCTTAAGCCCTCCTTTATTTATTTACTGACTACATTAACAGCAGCGCCTGCTCTCCTTTTGTGCTGCAGCAAACTGTACGGCACAGCATGGATCGCCGTGGCGGGGCCAGGTGGGTGCTGCTGGTGTCACTCGCCCATGCCTAAGCCTGATGGGTTCTGCCTGCACCCCACGGGTGCTGCCCACCACCACCTGCCTGTGCATGACGATGCAGTTAAACATTCATTACGGCACAGTTGGTGTCACTGCAAGCAAAGCATCACTTCATTTTTCCCAGGGATGGATGAGGTGTGCCGGGCTGGTGTTGGGCCCAAGCTCAGCCCATGCCCTAGGGCTTCCCAGCAGGTTTGAGGTCTATGTGCTCACGCCGGCTCTTGGTGCTGGTCCCTGCCTGCCAAGAGCTCTCCCAGCAATGCTCTTGAGGTGAGGCTTTGGGCAAAGGGGCGAGACCTTTGGGCCAGGTTCAGGCAAGCAGAGGTAGTGCCACAGCAGCACCCTTAGGAGAAGAGACTGGAGCCCGGCTCCGGCTCTCGGCCTGGCACAGAGGCAGTGGTATAATAATGGGGAAATCATCGCAGGACCGGGCCTTTGTCTGCACGCTCGTGCAGCAGCTGGGAGCGATTATGCTGCAACAATGTTCTGTTCCATCAACATTATGTCCTCATTAAACCTTTATTAGGAGATTAGATTCAGATTTATTGATTTATTTTTTTTTAAAGAGGAAAATCGAGGCTCCACTCAGAGAGATGCCTGGAACTTTTTCCCGCATGCAGCACTTCCCAAAGCAGCAAGAGGGTAAAGGGAGAACCTGGATCTTTCCTCCAGCATGGGCAACCTGCTCTTACAGGGGTGAGGACCATGGAGCTGCACAAGGGGGTTAGGTTGGATGCAGGATGGAATCCTAGTGCAGGGAAGGATGAGGACCAAGCCCCCACCAACGTGGTCCATGGGATGTGACAGCAGAGGTGAGCATCTCACGGTGGGTCCCCATGGGCGGGAGCCGGCTGGTGAGGCTGGCTTGGGGGTCCTGTCACCCCGTGTCCCCCCATAACATGAGAGATGGGCAGCATCACCTGCCCGGGTCAATGGGCCCATTGGATTTGTCTGTTGGAGCGTTTGATGTTACACGAAGGCGGCTCATTCCAGAGGGTGTTAATTGCCCACTGCAGTGATCAGGTCTGTAGCACCATCGATCTCGGCAGGATCAATGGGCTGATTTAGTGTCTCGTGAACTCTTTAACTGGACACCTCATCAATAGGCAACCACTTACAGACCATCAGCGCATTAGTGCAGGCCGGCGCCGGCAGGAGCCTGCTGCGCCCGTCCTCAGCCCCCCATCACTCAGTGGGAAGTTTTCCTGCAGGTGACGGCTCCAGGACACTGCACGGGCCCCTTGGTCTGGGGCCAGTGGGATTCAGGGTGGATGTAGGAGAGCCAGCCACTGTCAGTCCACCTCCACTCCACCACCACCAGACCAACTGTATGCAGTGATGTTCCCAGAGCCCAGGATGAGCTCTCCCATTATCTCCAGCGCTTCTGAGGATGGTGCCCACGCTCAGGTATGTTACCGGTGTGAGGAACGAGCTACCCCTTTACAGTCTCTTGGGCAAGCAGTCGGGGCTGGGGACCACACCATCAGTGTTTCTTGCCACAACACTCCCGTCTCTGGGAATGATAACTGCATTGGGCAGCTCTGCTCCTTGCAGTTTTGGCTCAACTCCCTGCTCTTGGATGCAGCCAGCAGTTCTTTTATCTCCTCTTGGCCACATCCCCTGGCGGGGATGGAGGGTGGGAGCTGGGGAGGGGGACACTATCAATAGCAATCGGTGACCTTCCAGGTCTCTTCCAGCACCACGTGTCCGGAGAGCCAGTCCTGCTTGCACCCCGGTTAATTTGCTGTTGGCTGGCACTGCTTCTCTGACAGCTTACTGTATGCAGGGCAAGAGCACGATGGGCATCTGCTGGGCAACTGTGCCCAGGGACTCTGTAGCAGGAACAAAGACCTGCCGGGAGCCCCACGAGCAGGGGGAAGGAAGGGGGCACATGCATGCGGCTCCCGGTGCTCCGGGCACAGAGGTGGGGGGTTCCCCGGGACAGCTGGGGCGAGGGGCAGGGAGTCCCCGGGGCGAGGGACGGGACCCCCGGGCGGGCGCAGCCCAGAGTAGGGCGGTGGGGCCGCTGTCCATGGTGCTGAAGCGGCGGCTGCAGTGGCACCAGGTTGGGGCGAGAGGGAGCATCTTGCAAGGCTTGTGCAGAGGTCATGGGTGCCTGGGGGCTCCCCTCAGCTCTGCCTTCCTGCTCAAGTGCTGCTGCTCCGGAGCTGGGGGAAGGCGGTGGATGCACCAGCCTGGGTCAGCAAACACCACTGGGTCCTCCCAGAGCTGCGGAGCAGGTGCTGGAGCAAGGCAGCGTGTGGGGTCCCCACCTTCCCTGCCCCGAAAGGAGGGCACCTCTTAGGCATCCCTCCACACGGACCAGAGGGTACCCAGCGTGATGGTGTAAGCCAGGACGGCCACCAAGTAGGCCCGGAAGAGCAGGACATCTAACACGTAGCCCACTTGCAGCCACTCGCGGGCGACGTCGCGGAACTCCTCGCATTTCTCCAGGAACTGGCGGATGGCTGTGATCTCGTGCAGGACACCGTGCAGCAGCAGGGAGCCATCCGCCTGGCTGGCAAAGGCCGGGGTGGGCCTCATGGCCCTCACCGCCTCACACTCCTGGGGGTCCTCACAGCCGTAGTGGTTCAGCTTGGCTGCAGGATCAACAGAGGCAAGGGAGAAAAACCTCTTTAGACGGAGAATTGGGATTCCTGTGGGTTATCTGGGCATCCAGATCACTGTGTACACAGGGACTTTGTAGGAGGATAAGTCAGATCCAGTCCCCTTAGGATCCCATGGTCCCTATCTGCGCATCCCTTACCTGTGCTGTCATTGCTCTCCACCTGCCTGGAGATGTCTGAGCTCTGTGCCCTGGTCTGGCTGAATTCCTTCCTGTCCCGGATGCAGAGCAGGACTGTGGCTCGTTCCAGCAGCAGGTGCTTCACCCAAGCAGGGACGTGGGGCTGCAGATCTTGCTTGTGCACCAGGCGCACAATAAGGATGGTCTCCGTCAGGCTGATGACGAGCAGCGCCATGCACACCACAAAGTAGATGCCTGCAGAGATGTCAGTGAGGTGAGTGGCCTGCAAAGGCTCATACACAGAGGTGGTACCCAGCAATCTCTCCCACTTTTCTAGGGAACCTGGGGTCTCTGTACCAGGCAGCAGCTCCTGCTGCTGCAGGCCCAGGGCTGCTGTGGCACTCAGTTTGGCAGGTAGTGCCACCATACCTATTAACGGGGTGCCTACAGCAGTAGCCGGCAGCGTGTCAGATACAATGATGAGGAAAACAGAGTAGCCCAGTAGGAGGGTGATCTTGAAAGAGACCCTCTCGCCACTGTTGGGAGGTAGGTAGAAGCCCACAATGTCCATAACCATCAGGAAGATGCTGGGGAGCAGCAGGCTAACGGTGTAAAAGAGGGGGCGCCTCCGGATGACTACCTGCAGGACACAGAGAGAGGGAAGGCTCAGCAAGGGGTGGAATCAAGGGTGTGAGCTGGTGCAGCTCTCTGCCAGGGCAGGCAAGGGTCATGGGGTGCACTAAAGTGAGCCATAGGAAGGGCTCAGCGCTGGGAACCTCCTGCCTGCAGGTAGGAGCACCTCAGCACAGGGCTGATGGGTGATCAGGCAACAGGAACAGTGGCGAGACCCTTCCCTAGCACCCCCTCCCCAGGAACCATGACAACCAAAGACCCTCACGTAGAATTTCATCTCAGCATAGCTGTCGCTGCTTTTGACGCTGAACTCCTGGAAGTGGGTGAGGACGTAGAGCAGCTCCCACTCGCCCTGGTTCATGAAGACGCTCCGGTCGAACTTGACCAGCTCCGGCTGCCGCCACAGCGAGAGGTTGATGTCGCGAACTGAGGGGCAGAGGAGAGATGAGGACCAGGGTGCCCGGCCCCAAGCTCCTCCACGCTGGGCGCCTGCCCTCCCCGCACGCATCCCCGGTCCGCTGGGGCCATCTAGAGGGACGAGCCGCCTTGTGCAGCCCAGCGGAGGGGAGCGAGGTCCTGCCCGTCCCGGCACTCACTGTGGTGCAGCCAGCTGGTGAAGGTGAGCGAGCAGTTCTGGACGTCGAAGGGGAAGTTGTAGATGTCCAGGCTGCAGGCGGTCATCACCTGGATGGGTTTGAGGTTCTGCACCTCCCCGTGGTGGTCAACGTAGACGTAGGGGACATGGGGGGACTTTCCGACGTCCACACTGCAGGGTATAAGGGACAGCCATGGGCTGGGGAGCACTGGGCAGGGACTCCTGCTGCCGAGCTGCGTTTGGGAGGGGACCTGCCCAGGAGGAGAGGTTTGCCCCGGGAATGCTTTCTGGGCAACACTGGTGCAGGCACACCTGCATGGCATCACCTCTGGGCTGCCTGGGCTGCTGCCCCCTCCCAGCTCAAGGAGTGTCTGTGTCCTTGTCCCGACACTCTGGGGCTGGTTGTGAACACCTTAAATCCCCACGGAATGGGCAGGATGCCGGCTGGCTTCGAGGGAAGGGCCGGCAGCTCTGCAGCTGCCCTCGCATTGTGCTGCCTTCACAAAGCCTTTCTGCAGCTATCTGGATCCCACCCCCGGCACGGCGGGTAATTACCAACAGTTGCGGTGAGCCAGCATTGGAAATGGCCCAAGTGCTGTTCCCCATCTGCAGCTCGCCCGGTGCAGGGAGGCTGCCAGCTCTGTGCCGCGAATACAAAGTGCCTGGCGGCACGTGCCCACAGTGGGCAAGGGGGCCCAGCCCCACACCGTGTCCCCTCTGGCCTCTGACCACACTCACAACTCGTTGATGAGGATGTCGGGCACCCAGATGCTCTCCACGGGGAGGGAGATCTGCGTCAGGTTGTCGAAGCGGGCCGGGTCCCACCTGAGGAACTCGTCTGTCCAGTGCTGTGACAAGGGAGAAGGGGCTTGGAGGGTGAGGGCTCTGTCACCCCACTGCACCCAAACCCTCCCAGCTGGTGCCCGGCCATAGGAACCAATCTTCAGTGCCATCCATGGGAGGGAGGAAAACCTCATCCTCCAGCTATTACCACCCAGCAGTGTGAAGCATGGAGCATGAAAGCCGTGCCTCAAGGTTCATGCCCTACAGAGATCTTGTCATCCCTGGATGGCTTCCACCTTGCTGCACTCCAGCAGGCCTGCACACCTCTCCCTTGGGAATCCTGTGTTTGTAGGGGTGCCAGGCAAGGAAGGGGGGAGTTTTCACAATCTCATCTGCTCACCTGCCTGTACCAGATGTAGGTGGTCAACACCTGGTTCTTCTCATCCTGCAGGAAGAAGAGGACATGGTGTTGGCACAGGCGTTATTGTCACTCCAGCAGATGAGCAGTGTCCCAGGAGGATGCTGCATACTGTGGTACCTTCCCTTGCTGTGGACACACAGAAGCTGCCTGCCTCCAAGCAGCCCAGAAGCTGGGATGGGAGCAGAGGACTCACCACGCTGAGGATGGCGTAGACCATGAGGTCGATGGCCACATTGGTGGTTGTTCGCCAGTCCCGCACGGGTCGGGTGTCCTTCTGGTAGTGGGCCAGCAGGTAGTGGGACAGCCGGTGCAGGGCAGGCTCCATGGGCTCTGGCGTCCAGCCCTGCCGCCGGGTACCTGCCAGCAGAGGGAGGAAGGAGGGATGAAGGGGTGAAAGCTGCTCACAATGGGGCAGTTTCTGCAATCACCCTGGGCTGTGCTGTGACCACAGGATGCTGCTGGCTGCCATCCCAATCCCTCCCTGACCAGCTGGGGTTTTCCCATCGAAGTTCAATAGGAGCCTCCTGATGGGAAAGATGCCTGCCAGACCCAGCACCTTCTACAAGTATCTTCTGCTGTGCAGGCAATCAGCGCTGCGACCTTCCCCCAGCCTTGAAGAGCAGAGCTGCCATCTTCCACCACCCTGGACAGACACCAGGACAGTGGCAGCAGGGACCACAAGGGACTCGCTGCCCCGGATATGTTTCCTACCACTCACTCCTTCCAGGGCATCCTTCTTTGCTCTGCAGGTGGTGGTTAGAGTTGAACCAGGATGCTAAATTCATTTATTAGTGCCTTGGCGTTTGATTCCTGTGGAAACAATCCCTCAGCCTGTGCCGGCAGCGTTAATCACGGAGCAAATTGCTCATGGTGCCCGCGTCCTCACTGCAGGGCAGCCGGTGACACCAAGGCCGAGCCAGGGCAGTGAAGCCACGCTTGTGGCTTTGCTCTGCAGCACGCCCAGCCCCAGTGTCCAATTCCCACTTAATGAAAGGGACTAATTGGAATAGATCTGCAGGAACTTGGGAAAAGCTGCTGGAAGGGAACTGTAATCTGTATTTCAAGCTAAAAAACCCAAACCCCACAGCAGCTTCAGCCCCTCTAACGCTGCACATGATCGGTAATGCCGGGGAGCCAGCCAGGCGCACGACCCTCGCCCAGGCAGGAGTGTGTGGATGGATGGAGCCGAGGGGGGGTGAGAGGCAGCAGTCAGGGTGAGGGGAGGCAAACAGGCGCTGCCGTCACGGCGGCTGTGGCCTTTCCTGCTGCAGCTGGTGGAGCTGGCCCGTGCCTGCACTCCTCCTTACATCCGCAAGCTCCAGGTCTGGGTGCTCTGGCAGCAGGGAGATGGTTTTGCAGAGGGAGGAATGGGCTGATCCGTGCATCTGCCACAGACACCCTGCAGGTCTGTATCCCTCCAGCATCATGAGGGCAAAGTCCTTGGCCAAACCAAAACATTGTTGTTATCAGTTCTATTCCCAGGCCCAGAGTCAAAACACAGCACTGCCCCAGCTACCAAGGAGGAGAAAAATGACAACTACTGCTGAACGCAGGACACATCCCTGCTCCTCCTCTGCAGTGCTGTGGGAGAACGTTCGGGAGGGGGGAGCGGTGCCCTGATGAGAGGGGCTGTCTGACCCAAGTTACAAATCACTGGAGACTTCCAGCTCCTTTGGTCCAGACCACCTCAGGGATTTTCCTACTCTTTCCCAGGAAGGTTAAACAAGAAAATACTAGCAATATCTTGGGAGTGTTTAGACAGGTGGTTTTGCACCATGCAGAGCTGACATTACAAATTAGGCACAGCATCACTTCTGCAGGCTGTCATCCCCAAAACCCAGCTCTGTGTTAAGAGGGATCAAACATTATGTTAGAGAAATCCGTGGATGGGGTGGAGGGCTCAGGCAGGGGAGGCAGGTAGGACATCACCCTGTTTCTCACTCTGTCCTCAGAGCTGGGACTTTGCATGCTCCCAGAGCACTAAGAAGCCCCATTCCAATGTCACCCTGTGCTACCCCAGCATGCAGCAGCTCCAGGCTCTCACACCAGAGCTCTCCCACTTTTGGGCTCTCCCAGATGCTTTTCAATAGCATTGAGGTATCTAAAAGCATCCTTGGTGTGCTGTATGGCACTGCTGAGGTTTGGAAAGGGGTTGCACCGTGCCTCTTGGTGCCAGGAGCACCCTGCTCTCCCCAGCTCTGCATCCCCTTTGCCTTACCTTGGCTTTGCAGCGTTGAGGTGAGCGGCAGCAGGGCCAGAAGCACGCCGAGAGCGGTGGGTGTCATGGCTCTGGTGCTGCGCTGGCTGCAGCCGCTGCCGCCAGCCTCCGCTGCAGCAGTGGCCCGAACAGGAGGCAGGCAGCACGCTCTCCGTGCTCGCTTGCCTCCCGCCGTGGGGTTTTGAGAACGCCCAATTAATCTCACAATCAGCCTCTCCCGATGCATCAAGTTTCAGGCTGGGAGGATGTGAGAGGAGCCCATCCCGCCAGCTCCCCTGGGGCTCCCCTAGTCCCTGCCCCAGTGCCTGGCTGCAGGAAAGCGGGTTTTAGGGTGCAGGCATCCTGTCTGCATGCAGCAGGAGTCAGGGGAGAGGATGCTGCCGGTGCAAGGGGACACTCAACAGTTGGCAAGTCAGAGATGGGGTCGTCTGTCCTGGGAGGTTACAGGAACATGTCACCGGGGGAGGGTTTCCATCAGCCAAGGGAATGGGGTGCTCCAGGGGTACCAGGCTTCCCACTGCACCCTATGGCATCCCTCTGCCTGCCAGAGGAGCTTCTTCCTGACCCCCCTTTTTCCCACGTATTTGTGTAGTTGTGTCTGTATTTGTGTGTGCTGCAGGTGCCTGTGCCCTCCCGAAGCTGCCAGCTCTGGAAGCGCTGGGGAAGCAGCGGGCAGAGCGCGGAGCCTGCGGCGGTGGCGTGGAGCAAATCGCATCAGATGCCAGCGTGGAGTCACTTAAACGAGATAAGAATTAGTGCGGGGCGCTGATGAACTCCCCCTCGGCTGCCAGCAGCGGTGTCAGGGAGAGAGCGAGAGCAGAGCCAGGGCTAATTTGATTTCTCGGCTCCGTTAGTGCTGGCAAGTCACCTCCCAGGGAGCGCAGGCAGCGCCGAGCTCTTTCCCCTGATTGAATCTGGGTAATGGAAATCACAGGCAGCGGCGCTGGGGACCCTTCCCCGCTCTGCCCCCTGTGCCCCGGCCTCCTGCATCCACAGCAGGCAGGATGGGGCCGAGCAGGTGAGGACCGCGCAAGCGGAGCCTCTGCTGCAGCATCATTAACTCTGGATTTTCTCCCCTGGGTATTAAGTCTTCATCTTAAAGAGATTTTAATGTAGTTCCTCTCAGTCCTCCTATTATCAGATATCCCATTAGTGTGATCTACTGTAGCTTCACCCTATGCAGGGGCTCTTGTGGGACTTTTTGTGGGATGGTCGATTCCAGTCGGCAGCGCCCGGATCAAGTTTACTTTCTGAAATGGCGTAATGGGATTTTATTAGCCCTGTAATCTGCTGCATGGTAACTGCTTTTCTGGGAATCAAAGCGCCGGGCGTCTGGGGCTTCCCGAGGCTCAGCCCTGCATCCTGCTCCAGTGATGGTAAAGGCTGGGGATAGCACAGGATCCAGGCACAGGGTCCCTGCCATGAGAAGGGAGAAGTGATGCTCAGAATCCCCCATTCGCAATGGGACAAGCAATTCCCCATCCCCCAGACCTGCCCTTCCTGGGAATGAAACCAAGCTGGAGGCTGCAGCGACCAGGGCAGGAGTGTGGCTGAGCTCTGTGCAGGATGGGTGCTGCAGTGGCACCAGGAGACATATCTCAGAATAGGGGAGCAGCCTCCTCCGTGCTGCCAGGACTCGCCTTTCTGAGCGTGTCTGGAGCGTCAAAAGCAATAAAGCATCACGGAGGAGCCCTGGCAGCGCGGCTGCTGCTGGCCCCGGCCCCATCACGCACCCGAGGCCTCCCATTAGGGAGCGTCACACTCCCCGAATTGCATGTCTGCTATGATTTAACACTGTGAGACATGAAATAAACACCGTGTGCAGGCAAGGCTGGTGGTGCCGCCATGGGCGGGCTCACAGCAGCCCCTGCACCAGCACCAGGAGATGCAGGACCCTCCTGTGGTCCATGGTCCTCAGAGATGCTCAGGCTCACGGCATCCCCAGGGTGCTGCAGGGGTCCCTGGGGCCAGGGGGGCACCCAGGGTCTTCCTTAGGTACCCACCTTGTGCAGCTCCAAGACCAAAATGTCAGGAGCTGGCACTCGGTGTAGTGCCCTTGCAGGTAAAAGGCTTCTCACCCCAATTCAGTGCTTGCCAAGGGGGGCTGGTGGTGACTCACACCACGATCAAAGGCAGCAGAGCTTTATTTCAGGTCCGCGGTGCTGGACCATGAGCGTGGGGGCCAAGCACTGCTGGTCAGTGAGGTTTGTGGTGAGGAGGAGGACGATGCTGGGGGTGCATCACCCATGGACCATGGAGTGGCCAGAAATCACCCTTGGCAGGTACTAAGCCTGTCTCCACCTCACCAGCAAAATCCCTCAGTGAAGGGAGAGGGGCACTTTCTTTCCCGTCCTCTTCCCCATTAGACACCCTTCAGGTGTTAGCAATATTCTGCCACTGTTTCATTGTCCATTAAAGCCAGGTAATAATAAGCACATGAAGGAATCTGGAGCCAATTGCTGTTAATGAAGGAGATCCAGCTCATCCCGAGCGGGACAGCAGCCACACATTGCAGGCACGATGTCACCTGAGGTTAGGCAGGAATTGCCTTGCTGAGAGCGGACCCGGCCAGTGTGCAGTCTTGTGTGACTGTTTCTTTTCCTCCTAGTTTTACGGGAGATGCGTGCCGGAGGCTGGGAGAGGGAAGCTGGGCTCCAGCACCGCTGCAGCTGCACTGGCTGTGACACCTTCCCGAAGGGAGGATTGCAGCAGGGATCATGCTCACACTGGCTACTGCAGTGCAAACCCCTTGTGTCTGTCCCCTCGCCTCACCCCAGCTCTTCTGCTCTGCTCTAGTTTTTAAGAGATGTTTCCCATCAGAAACCACGGCGCTTCCAGGCTGGATGTGGGTAAAACCACGTTGGCCATTACAGCTGGGTATTTTTCCCTTCATTTTCCATGGAAAATGAGAAAGATTTCAAGTGAATCAGAAAGGTTAGTTTGGGCTGGAAAGGCTGTTAGCTTTGGATGCAAAACAATTGAAAAGGTCTCACAAAAAGCCTCCTTCCTCTCTTTTCCATTGGAGTCCAACCCGCAGCCAGAGGCAGCAGTCAGGCTCTGCCCTGCACCCTGGGTCCCAGCCCTGCCAGGGTGCCTCAGCAAGTCCTGTTCCTGGTCCAGGCTCCCACAAAGGAAGCCATTCTCCTTCCCCAAGAAGCACGGGCACGGGAGCTGCTCTTGCAGGGTCCTGGGGCAAGATGCCTGGTCTAGGGGATGCTCTGGGTCCAGGGAGCATCCCTGGCTCTCAGGCCAGGGAGGGAAGGCAGAGAGAGATGTGAAGCAAGGCAAGGAGGACCAGAAAGGTCAACACATGGAGACAGCCCTGGAGGAGACAGTGGCCAGAGACGGGCTGTTAGCATGGGCTCAGCTGCATGCAGGGTGCTGCTGACGGCTGGGCTGCTGCTCTGGGGGTCAAGGGGAAGGTGAGTGTGTCAAGGCTGCATGCAGGGGATCATGCTCTGATCACCCTGCAGCCAAGGATTTTAAAGGAAGCAGGAATTTAGGGGTATCTCTGACCCTGGGTGCTGAGCTGAGTTCGTGTTGGGGGGTGTGCTTTGTGTCAAGGGGGAGATGAAAACTTCCCTCTGTTTCTGTTTGAGAACAGGAATGGAATCCCTGCGGAAAACCCACAGACACCGTGCCTGGCGAGCTTATGAGTTGTGGGTGATGAGTCCTGGAGCTGGGATGTGACCGAGGGGCAGTGAAACCTCCTTCATCCTGCTGTGTACACTGGAAGACCAGGTGAGAAGTTTCTCCTCCACGGGTCATTTGCTGTCTCAGGTGTGTTTGGTACCCCCTGATGTTCTCTGCCACCCCTGCTCCCCTGGTGCTAATACACCGCTCCAGACTGGGGGGGGGGTGTCAGTTTTTAATGCACCCACAGTGCAAATCACTTCCTTTTGCCTAGGAAGACCCTTGGCCATGGAGGGAGGGAGGGAGCGAGGAGCAGGTCTTCACCTGAGGCTGTACCACCCCTTGATCTAATGGAGCTTGACTGCGCCCTAATTAGTCACAGCGGCATTAATCAGGCTGCTAAATATAACACACCCCCCCCCCAGACGTGGTGCTCCCAGTACGAGGCTGAGCTGCTCCCTGCAGCCGCATGCTCAGAGTTTCAAGGTTAACTCCTTGTTTAAGGTAAGGAAGCCCCGTGGGGAAACTCTGGGGTGGGAGGTGCTCGGTGCCCGCGGGGGGCGGCCGGAAGGGAGACAGGGTTAACAGGAAACTTGTGGTTGGTTGGCTGAGTGCTCCGTGTGCCAATGGGCAGCGAAACACGCATGTTCACACGCAGGTATATATACACCCGCGCACCCGCCCGCCGCCCTCCCCAGGGGCCGGCGCTGATGGTCGGTGGGACCTCTCCGAGGGGCCCCGGCCGGGGCAGCGCCGGCGGCGCTCGGCAGATGGCGGAGCGGGCGCATGCGCCGGCCGCGCTCCGGGCCCGCATGACGGCCGAGCAGCAGGCCCCGGGCGGCGGCGGCGGCGCGGTGAGACGGCAGCGGGGGTTGGGGGGGAGCGGGAGGCGGGGAGGGGGCAGCTCCCTCCGCAGCGGGGCCGGGGGTGCTGCCGGCTCGGAACCCCCAGGCCCTCGCTGTGGGACCTCCGGGGCCTGCGGCCCCCGCTCGGTGCCCCCGGGTGCGGGTTCTCTCCGCGAGGCCCGCCGGGCGATGGGCTCGGGTCGCGCCCCGTGTTGCAGCGGTTTCATTTGAAACAGCCTCCGGGCGCTCGCCCTGCTTCCCTTGTCTCTGCCGTTGTAGGGATGGACGGGGCCGCTCCGGTTTGGGGAGCGCACCGGCTGCACCCCGGGAAGGGCGGGGGGGGCTCGCCGTAGTAACCAGCTCTCCCCATCACCAAACCAGCGCCTTCTGCCACTAAGGCGCGGCTGCTCTGACCCCGCGGGGCTCTGCGGGAGTTGTCTCCCAAAGCACCCGGAGCGAGGGGCTCGGCGTGGCTCGCTGCTCCTCCGCCGTGTTCCCAGCTTACAGCGGTGCCTGCGCTTCCCTGTGGCGTCTCGGGGTGCAAGGGAAGCGCCCCCGAGGGGCCCCCGGGATGGGAACTGGGCGCCGACCCCGTCGTTGCGCGTTTGAAAGCGGCTCCTGCTTGCGCAGGGACGATGTCTGGGGAAAAGCACAGGACCACGTGGTGGTGGAGGAGTTGTTTACCAGCCGCTGCTTCCTCCCGTGGTGGGAACGGGGCGGTAAAAGCGTTGGTCAGGAACGCGGGCATTGTTCCTGCTGCCGCCTCCGGGCTTCTGAACCTCCTCGAATCCATTTTCCCGCCGCCGTAAACACTGCAGCTGAGGTCTGCGGCCGAAGGCTGTGGATCTTCCAGATTCTTCCACGCCACCGCCCCCCTTTTCCTCCCCGCCCCCTCCTCTTCGCGCGCAGTTACTTTTGGACCCCGCCCCGAGGTGCTGTGGCGCGCTCAGACCCTTCCCTGCTTCCAGCTTCTCATCAAAACAAGCTGCTGCTGAGCCCACCGAGTCACTTCCGAGTGGGGAAGAGGGCACAAGCTCTCTGTGTCCTCCCTCACTGCCCGAGCGTGCGGTTCCCACCTCCAGTGCCCTCCTTCCTCTTGCTCGTGCGCTCCTCTCCTGTTGCTGTAATTTAATACTAATAGCGTTTTGGTCCATGTTGTTGTTTCTCTGGCAGGTAGGGCTTTGGTTTGGTTTTTCTTTGGGTCTTATATTAATAGTGGCAGCACACTGGTGTTAATTACCAGCTCTGGAGCTTGTTTTAAAGCACCCCGGCGCATACCCTCAAACAGCCACCAGCCAGAACAGTCAGAGCAACACCATGTGTGTGCCCTGAGAGCTGCTCACTGCTGTGCTCCCGGTGGCTTCTGTGCGCTGCTCCTGGGACCTGCCTGCACGGGATGAGCTCTGCGCTGTTAACACAAACCTTCCTCCTCACAGGCTGGAAATCATTAGTACATTTGGTGGTAGCTTAGAGCAGCGGATCTGTAATTAGCTCTTGTGGTTGCAGCACTTTGTGAGTCTGCTTTTGGTGGAGCACAGAGTCATGCTCCGTCCTGCCCTGGATCTCGTTTGGCAGCACAGTTCCTTAGCCAGGGTTCTTTGCTCCAATGGAAAAACGTGTCCTGCGGCCTTTGGTGGGGTTGGCTGCTCGCTGAGGCAGCAGAATTAGCAACATGATATCAGTGCTTTGCCATTGTGGAGGTATGTATGCCCTGAGCCCTGGCTTCTTGGCGTGAGGTTCCTCACCCTGCTGCCGTCTGGGCCTGAGGCTTTCCCGCACGTCCTGTACGAGTTGAGCCAAAGTGGGATTCCAGGTGGGAATAGCTTGTTGGGGGAGCTCCCATCAGAAAACAGCCCAGGACTTCTCTGTGTGGTGCCCACTTTCTTGCATGCGATCTCTGGTGTTTGCGTATGTCAGCGCTGGGGGTGGTGGCACAAGAAGTAGGTGCCTGGGTGGAGCCCAGGCTCCACTGGCATGAAAGCATCCTACATCATCTGCCAGTGATGAGAGGGAGTAGAAACATGCATTTATCCGTGCAGTTAAGGTTAAATGTGATCTTCGGGAGCTGGGATTCACTGACCTGTGCTGACAGGAGGGTCCTGCGTAGCCTTTATAAATCAGGCAGACACGATGCAGCCTGGCTGGTTTTCCTGCTGTAACATCCTTCCCATGGGATACCCCTGTTGCAGTGGCCACAGAAGGGGACCTGTGGCATCGGGGCTGGCTGCTGGAGGTGGTTCCTGTGAGAGGGCTGCAACTGGCAAGCCAGGGCTGTGGAGGTTTTCTGCATCTGGGAAGCAGTGTTTCTGTCATAGTTTATTGAAATGGTTGCGCTAAAGAGCAGGCTGTTGACCGTGCCTTAGGGCCTGAGTGAGGCTCTCCCCGGCCCTCGAGCGGCTGTGGTGGGGGAAGGAGAAGTGACCGCAGGCTCCTGGGCCCCTCTCCTGACACCTCATTGTCAGTGAGAAGTGACATGCACAAATGGCATGTGCAGCCAGACTTAAAATAGCCCCTAGCCAATGCCCCGGCAGCAGGCAGCCTCCTTATATGTCCCACTGCACATGCCGGGCTCCCCGGGGGGGCTGCCCCTTCCCATCGCAGGTGCCCAGCATCCCACAGCCTCTCAGGCCTGCTGCCGTCCTTGTGGGGTACAGCGGCTCGAGCCTCAGCCTGCAGGTTTAGGGGGAAGATCTGGGTACGATGTTCAGGCTGATGCTGGTGTTACCATCAGGCTAGTGTGAGCAGGTCTTTGTGTCAAGCTGTCAGTAAAAGGGAAAGGAAGAAGCAGTACTCCGGTGAGCCCTCAGCGAGCCTCCCAGGAACAGCTTGGTGTCCGTCCTGGTCGCCTCTTCACATAAGCTTGCTTTATATCTTGCACGTAGGATTGCCAGATGCTTTTAGACCAGCTGAAAGAGATCACAGGAATTCAAGACTCCTCTTTCCTTCATGCTGCTCTGAAGGTGGGTGGCTGTTGTCGTTGTTCTGAGGAAAGGAGACCTGAGAGTCAGGCAGGTTTGAAGCACAGTGCACGGGTCGGGTGGGCAGCCTGGGACGGCGTGTCGGTGTGTGCTGCATGGAGCAGTGTGTTTCCTGTGAGGGTGGTGGGCAGATCCTCACTGCCTTTCTGCCCCTCGCATGTGCCTTGCCCAGGTGTAGCAGGGAGGCAAGTGGAGACGCCAGGCTGGTTTTGGGGTTCATAGGGTTCTTCACCCACACCTGCAGCAGAAGTCCCACACTAAGCAGAGCGCAGTTCATTGTTCTGGCAGTGGACCTTAAAACCTGCTCTGCAACAGCATGTGCTGGGCTGAAGCTTCCTAAACGTTTCCTGGGAGTTGTGCAGAGGGCTGTTACCCAGGGATGGAGCACACGCACCCAGCAGGTCTGGGGAGGTTTTTGTCCATGTGCGCTGCTGTGGGAGTTGTGGACAGCTGCGGGAGCATTGGTAGCTTCGTGGCTGGTGGTTGTCTGTCACCAGAACAGTGTTCTGCTCCGAAGCAAGGGGAAGTGGGAACCTCAGGTGCTTGGAGAAGCAACGTTTGCCTGGAAGGATTCCTCCTCATGCTGCATGCTTTAGGGTTTGGAACTTGTGGCCTTGAAGTGATTGCAACTGCATCAGTCTGGAATGATCAGGTGCATTCCATCCCTTCCCTTGGGACAGCAGAAGGATGTGGCTTGGGCTGATAGTACCCCGAGAGGTTTTTTACCAAAATCCGCAAATATTTCATTAAGAATTAGTGTCCAGAAGATGTTAGAATACATTTAAAGCCTGTAGTGCTGCTCTGAAGAAAGCCCTGGCTCTGTAGGAGACTCAGTAAGGTCTTGAAATCCACAGAGAGTTTGATTCCTGGGAGTCTGTGTCCTGTGGCAGTGTCCTGTCGTGCTTCATGCGTGCCCGGACTCTTGTAAGGGGATCTCGTTAGGGGAATGAAATTAGTGGAGTCAGCATTGTCTACTAACAAAGCCAAAGTGCTCTCCGACAGAGACATTCTGGCCTTTATTCTGTTGGGATTTTACTCCTGCTTGGCACCAGCAGGTTCCTTGCTCCATACCCAGGAAAAGCACGGTTGGTGGTAGTGTGCCTATCTCTACCCCAGATGCATTAAATGCCAGGTAAGCGTGCATGAAATAACCCTGCCACTATGGGTTTGCTTTCCCTTATCATCCTGCTAGGCTTCTAATGGAGACCTGATGGAAGCAGTCACCTTCGTGACAGACGAGAATGCCCAGGAGCCAGCTGAGGATGCGGCTGCTGCAGAGCCGTCCTTTTGGGAAGGGAGCGCAGTGGGCTGGGAGCCCCTACAGAGTGAGTCCTTCACCTCTGCTCGCCCCTGCAGGTTCACGTGTTCCAGCCTGAGCTGGAAAGGGACGTGTGGATCCTTCTGCCTCCACCAGCACATCCCTGGAGGAGAGCGACTTACCAGGGGTTCAGCAATGACTGTAGATGGCACATCACAGTTACAAAGCTACCCTCCTTCTAAACAGTTGGTCTTGGCTAGCACAGAAATCCCAGAAAGCTCCTAAAGCAGAGCAAGCAGAATGGAGAAGGGAATCCCTGTCAAGGCATACATTGCCTTCGACAGCATCTGCTGGCAGAGCAGGCACTCTGAGTGCTTGCTGTCATATTTTGATGAAACTTAAAGTGTTTGAGCCAGCAGTTTGACTACGTGAAAAACGTTTCTGTAAGCATGATGGGTATTGGCAGAAGCAGCCGTCAGTTTGGTACGTTCAGATGTGAGTAGTGTCATTGTGGAGTGACGTAGCTGAGGATAGTTTCTTTCAGCCTTTTTGCTAATGACACATCTATTAACTGGAGCTTTCCCAAGTGATACCATCACGGGCGGGTTCACAGTGCCAAATGTCTGCTGGGAACCTCGCAACAGCACCCAGAAGAGCACGGCTGCCCCTTGTTGTGCCATGTAAGGCTTCCACCTCTTCAAGAATGGCTCCTTTCCCTTTCTCCTCTTTCCCTATATAACTAGTACATGAAATGGCTCATAGCTGTGCATCCTGACATGAGTGAAGGGAGGCGATTCTCTGTGATTGTGCTGATTTCATTGCAGTCCTATGTCAGTTGTCAGCACTATGCCAGGGCATAGCAAATAGAAGCAGCAGCTGAGGTGCCTGTTTCAGTATTTCAGGAGGTTTGCAATGCTCCCTCAAGCTCTGAGTTTGGCTGTAAGAAAATCTGGCCAGCAGACAGCTGCAAGGTCTGTCCTGTTCTCCTCTCCTCATCCAGCCCACTCAGTGGCTTTTTAGGTTCCCTGGCGTGATCCAAGCCACAAGGATTTGTATTTAAAGCCTGAGCTAGGAAATGCTGCTTGTATCGATGGAAAAATCGTATTGGTAAAGTGTAACATTTTCTAGAAGTTCCTTTTAAAGAGAAAACTGAGCACTGCCTCTGCTTCCAGGTGTTACTATTGAACGTACCTCAATCAGCAGAGACTACCTCCGTTCAATCGGCAGGTTCACACAACTGGAATCACCAAAAACTCGGGCTGCAGGGAGGGATGCTCCGGAGAGGTCAGTGGCTCCATGAATTGCCTTTGGTTTTCCTGGGATTGTAAGTGGGTTCTTCAGATGTTTACTGCAAAACAAACTAAAATTGCCTACCAGATGTACGCCTTCTGCTTTTAGAAGGCGCTTGGGTTATGGCTGTCCCTGAGTAGTTTATGTCTTTAGGCCTTTATGTCTGGGGCAGCCCTTCAGCATGATGGTTGAAGTAGAAAGAGAGGTTTCAAGGTGGCCTAGTTGGTTGTACTGGTATTACAGCACCTACTGCAGAAACACCTTGAAATCTCACATGTTGATTTACTTCCCTCCAGTCAGTACCTCACCATCTCCTTCTTGCTGTGGGTCAGGTTTGCCTCCAGTAATGACTGAGGCCACCAGTCCTGTGTGCAGCCAGTTCACAGATCAAAACGTGCCTATGTTGTTATCTGACTCTGGAGTCATATAAGACATTGCTGCCTGTTGTGCTGGATGTCACCCAGCAGCACCCAGCTCTAGTGTCCCACTGGTGGCTAGGGGAGGGTACAGTCGTTGTTGCAGAGAGCCTATGTGAGATGGTGTTTCACAGCACAGCGTGCATCTTTTGTGACAGGCCACAGGAAGCACATTCCGCTGAAAACAAAAGCGGCTCCAAAAGAAAACGCTGTGAAGTCTGGGGCCAGAACCCCAAGGACAGTGACTGGAGGAGAGTGGGCGACTGGCCTGTTGGAGTGAAAAACATTGGAAACACGTGTTGGTTTAGTGCTGTCATACAGGTAATCGGATGTCCTGGAGTCAATGTGTTTAGCAGTCAGAAATACACATGCAGCAGCTCTGTGAAGTGATCATCGTGAGCTCCTCGTGGATGAGGGGGCGTGACTGTGCTCAAATGAGACTTCTGGTTTGATTTGATACGGTTGTGATTTATCCTGGGCATGCACAGAAGGAGCCAAAGAGCAGCTAAATGGACTTTATATAACTATAGCTAGAGATACATATAATCTGTGCATACGTACGCAGGGGTTTTGGTGTAGTGATGTCCAGATGCTTACTGAGTGACAAGCTGGACTGGCAAAGGGCACTGATAACTTAATTTTACTGCAGTTATTGTTGGCTCCATAATACGCAGTATATCATATTCCAGTTAATGGAATATGCTGGCATAGATGCTGAAATGCGTAAGCAACAAGGCAATTTGTATTATTAGTGATAACCTAAGCAAGAAGGGACAGCACTAAGTGGAACTTAGGAGATTGGTCTCTTCTAACCGTTTCACATCATCAGCTAGACATTAGTCACGTCTCCAGCTTAAGAAGAATTAAGAAAGCTTCAAATGGGCCCCTTTCTCACTGGTACGTGTTCCTGGATGCTTTTCCTAAGCTTGCCTATGGCAAACAGAATACTCTTTCCTAAAATGGACATATATATATGTGTGTGTGTGTGTGTGTGTAATGTCCCAGAAATAGCAGGATGAGACTTTGTTCTCTGGTGAGTACAAATGTGCAGTTCCAGTGCACAGACTGCTCACTTGGTGAACATCTATTTAGTACCAAGAGGCCATCAAAGGGTTAGAAGTTAAGGAGAAGGTGTCAGGTAAAAGAGTGACTCTGGGGCAGGGAGTTGAATACTCGCAGACACTAACTGCTTCGTGCCTCTCCTCTCCTTTTAGTCTCTGTTTCAGGTGCCAGAATTTCGCAGGCTGGTCCTTGGGTACTATCCCCCAGTTTTTGATCTTCAAAGGGCTCATACTCACACTGTAAGTATCCATCGAGGGACGCTGTAAAGTTCCCCTCTGTTGCAGTATCCTGTTCTGCTCTTTCCTTAAGCAGATTTAATTTGGGGCCATCTGAGACCCCTGTGCCTGTGTTAATGGCTTCCAAATAGTCAGATTACATTAAAGATAAAATTGGGAAGTGCTTTTCAAAGACAGAATCACTGTAGAAAAGAAATGGGGTGCTTCTTGTAAAGCTTTCCCTCTAGAGCTTCTAACTGTGGCGTGGGGAGAAATTTGTACCCTACAACTTCTTTGGTAGCTCCAGACTGTTAGTTTCTTCGCATGCACTGTAGAAGGACTGGTGTTTGAGCCAGGCTGAGGGTCCCTTTACCCCCTATGCCTGCTGAGAGCATCCACAGCAGAAGGTGCCTAGATGTTTAGAGCAAAAGGCACGTGGAGAATAACCCTTCACCTGTTGCATCGTTCTGCCTTGTGGCTGCTGCTGTTTAAGAGACTTTGCTTTATTTGCATCCCTGTGTGCTCTTCATGCTCCAAAACTCTTCAGATGCAGACAGAATAAATACATAAATTCACCAGCTTCTGCTTTTTGTCATAGCAAACATTGCTTCTGATGCTCTTGTCTCTCAAGGTTTTGCTCTGGGTAATTTTGTGTCTTACATGCATCCCTCTTGCTTCCAAGAAATGCCACTGCATGTCCTTCTGCTCTGTCCTTTTATGTCACCCCTTCCACTGGCTGTCAGTGTACCTCCCGAGGTGTGTGCATGTGATGTTCTGTAGCACTTTGGTTTAGGATGCTCTTTTGTCAGTTGCGGGAAGGGTTTTTCTTTTCTTCTTGCAATGCAGGAAAAAAGAAACATTGCGTTCGTGCTAGAACTCCAGTGTCTGTTTGCCCTAATGCTGGGGACCCGGCGCAAGTTTGTAGACCCTTCTGTAGCACTGGAACTCTTGAGGGATCCGTTCACATGCACTGACGAGCAGCAGGTAAAAAAACCATGCTGAAAAGCCTTCTGCATTCTTCAGAGCAACAGTTGCAGGCACAACAACCCTATTTCACTTCATCCCACCCTGGCTTTCAGGGGCCTCTTCCCATGTTTGTCAAGTGACAAGCAGCTGTCCCTGTGCCATTTAGGGGAAATGTACGTGCTTGCTCATTAAACAGGCAGCGTACCAGCGCGCTGCCAGCGCCAGCTGGGCCGTTGGGGAGCCATCGCTGTAATTCCCTCTGATCTCGTTTTCAGACGAGCAGAGTGTTCATTATGGGTCTAAATCAGCACTTTAGTTGCAGGCTTCCTGCAGCAGGGTGGGCACAGCAGCACCTCTCGGGTCGTGTGCTGGAGGGTGGTGAGACCAGCAGGCGGTGAAGGCACCCACTGGTTGCTGGTACGCTTGACTCTCGACTTGTGTCTCTCTTCCAGCAAGATGTGAGTGAATTTACACACAAGCTACTGGACTGGGTGGAGGACGCATTCCAGCTCAGTGTGACTGCCCAGTGAGTTTTCTGTGGTCCTGGGAGTTTGATGCTGAGGAGAAACAGATTTTAAATGGGATGCCTTAATAAATGAGAGGGCTTTACACAGAAATTTGGAGTAAATGAGAGTTCCTTGTTGCTGAGGATGACGCTCCTTAAGCTCAAAATATGCTCATGAAGCGTTACATCTGCATTTCCTATATGTAAGACTTTAATCGGTGCCCATATGGCTTGCAGGGTAAATGAGCTTTTTAGGGGAGCTCAACAGAACTGGTGTACGTGAAAGATCTGTGGGTTTGGAACTGCATTTCCAAAGGCAGTGCTGTAACTTGCACCCTGTCTTGCCAGTGTAAATGTTATAATGTGCTTTTGAGCATGAGAAGATCCCTCTGTATTCTGTGCTTGGATAGAAAACTTTGGGGACTGCAGGCAGGTTCCAAGGCCAAGGCTTAGATTATGACTGGGGCTTTTCTGCAGCCTTCAGCAGTACATGGATGTGTGCCTTTTTCTTTCTGAAACAGAAACCCAGAGGACAAATCTGAAAACCCAATGGTACAGCTTTTCTATGGGAGTTTCCTGACTGAGGGTGTCCATGAGGGTGAGTTGGGGCTTTGGCAGATTCCCTTCTCAGCTCCTTTGAGTGTTTTAATTGATAGCAGCAGTGATGAGCATTTTGTTGCACATTCCCTATGAAACTGCCTAGTTCTGTAAACTCGCAAATGGTCTTGATAAAATGGACCATAACATTTACAAAGTCTGTCTTCTGAAGACATTAAATGCTCGCAAGTGCCCATGTTTTGAAAGCAGTTGGTTGTAAGGAGGCTTACCCTAACAGAGGTGTGAGCAGCTGCACATAGGTCAGTTCTTGCAAGTAGTGCCTCTGGCTGGTGCTGGCAACAAACTCTTTGAGCTACCCAGAGTGTTTTGTTCTCTCAGTTTCACTCACGGGCGTTGTATCCTTTCTGTTATCCAGGCAATAGTTTTTCCAAGACGGAAACCTTTGGTCAGTATCCCCTTCAGGTAAATGGTTATCAAGACTTGAACGAGTGCTTGGAAGCAGCCATGGTGGAGGGAGAGATGCAGGAAGCAACCACATCTGAGTCGGGCAACTGCAGGCAGGAGGTTAGTTCTACCTTTTGTGTTGAGCTTTTGGTTGCCTGCTGCAGAAAACGCAATACATATAGCACAGGGGTGTCTCACTATATTCTAACAACTCTTAAAAGGCAATTGTAAATGTTCTCTATGAATTAGTACAAACTGATGTGTTTGTATCTCACGTAAATGTATGAACGTTGAGACACCAAGTCCATGCTTATTTGTAAAGATGTGTTGTCCTGTGTGACCAATTTGAGGAGGATGTTTTAAATTGAAAAGGTGAACATCTGCTGCTCATGCAAGTGTGATAAAGTCTCTCTCTTTCTGTTGAAGCCTACCTGTACCTGAGTAGGGGGAGAACCACTGCCTCCCTCTTTTTGGAGGGTAAAAGTACAGTGCTTAACTCTATGGTATGCCATTTGGAATTTGTATCTTTCTCCTTATTACAGTGTGTGTTTGTTGTTGTTTTTTCTTCTCGTTTCCACTTTTATCTTCTCTGCTGATTTTTTTTTTCCTCTTTTTTGTTTTCGGTGGCTTTTTGGTGTTTTTCTTTTTAATCTTGCAAATCACAAACCAATCATAAAATACTCAGTTCCAGCAAAGTGGAAAGCAGAGGTGTACCATCACATTCAGCATCCTGCATGTGCAATTGCAGCTGAGAAGTTAGCTCAGAGGAAGACTGGGACTTTACATGAAGGCATTTGCAAAGGGGTCTGGCATAGAGAGGACAGGGAAAGGCATTTCAGTTCTTCTATGAGAAATCAGGTCTGGGATGGGCAAGCCTTGCCCAGCTCTGGACTAAATGGACTCAAATTCTGTTCCTGCTTTTCCTAGTTAGTTCCTGCCTGAAACTGTTCAGATGCATTTGTAGCCCACATAGGTGAAACCATGGTAGGCTGGTGCCAAAGGGCTGTGGGCAGCTAATTGGGCCATTCCTTTTCAATCCAAGCTTTTTAGTTCCTCCAAATCAAAAATAAGGGAAATTGGACTGATCATGGAGGTGTTCTAATTGGTGTCTGTACAGATAGAAGGAAAAGGCTCCGGCTTTCTCTCTTAAGAAATCTGACTGGAAACACTGTGCATCTTAATTTCACTTCCTAGGGTGTCATGGCTAGAGGACTGCATGATAGGGGACATAGAGAATAAGGTGCATTTTGTCTTTTGAGAACGTAGGTGAGTGTGCTGAAGCTCTGAGCATCAGTGAGATTAACGAGAACTTGCCTTTCTCCTAGGTAATAGGTGCATAAATCATTCCTGCTCTGGGCTTATGGGCTGCTTCTGGGAAAGCTCTGGTGTGGGGGGCAGATTTATTGTGGCAGGACAGCTGACATGAATCCTGCACAGGAAAATGAGCTTAGCATGCTCATCCCATGTCCAGGCAGGAGCACTGCCGGGATAATGCAGGCTGAGGCAGGAGAAGGAAACCTCCGGCACAGGGTGCTGGAGGTAGTTGTGAACCCAGCAAGAGAGGAGGTGTAAATCCTATCAAGACTTGTTCTTTCAGCCCGGCTCTTCAAATCAGTGTGTGGATTGCGCAGGAAGTGGGGGTCTCCTCTGACCCTTCTGAATCCAACAGTTTGTAAATAGCATGAGAGAGGAAAGGGATCAGATACTGCCTGAGGACTTCTTTTTGTTCTTCATCATTGCATGTGACCCACATTGAAAAGGTGCTCTCTTAGCTGACACACAGTTTTGTAAAACTCAGGGCTGGACCTGTTAAGACTCCACCAAGCTGGATGCATCAGGCAATGAAAAGGAAGTTTCTGAAAGCTGTTGTGTGGCTTTTTTGTGGTACAAATGTAAAATGGAAGCGTAAATTTTAATCTCGTAAAATCTGGCTTTCTGACTAATCATTCCATAAAGAAAATTGTCACTGATTTGGTATTTAAAGGCAAATACGTTTAGGATGAGTCTGAAATCACGGAGGATCTGTAAGCTCAAATCGAGTCCCTCTGGGGGCGCTTGTGCTTTTGTTCCAGCGCTGGTTTACAAGTCTCCCCCTTGTGCTGACCTTTGAGCTCTCCCGATTCGAGTTCAATCAGTCACTGGGACACACCGAGAAGATTCACAACAGGCTGGAATTTCCTCAGACCATTTACATGGACAGGTGAGTGGTGTGGAATGGTTAAGGCTTTATTGTCATTAAAGACATTAAAAAGGTCGTGCGGGTGAGCAGGGAAGGATTCTAAAACAGTTGCAAAAGACAGCGAATGTTAGAAGTAGACAAATCTCACCTGACTGTACTGCAATGCTTAGGTACATCTACTTCTGTAAAGACCTTGTTCAGGAGAAGAGAGAAGAGATTAAGAGATTGAGTGAGAAACTGGTGATTCTGCAGGAGAAACTGGAGAGGTAAGGAGTCAGCTTTGGTTTTCTACCCCCTGAAAGCCTGCAAATGCTTCCATTTAAAAGAGCTTTCTAATGGAAGAAAAACTTAGAGGGGAGGGAGAAATAGAGCGAGCTTGTTCCGAGAAGCATCTGCATTACTTTTTCTATTAGACAACTTCTCTAGCTTAGGGTTTGGCATTATTGACTGGGGAAGGAAGGAGATCAATAGGAAAGACCTCAATTGTGGACAGGCAAAAGATTTCATATGCTGGGTGCTCTGTGTAAAAGTCCCTTTGTTTGGCTTTAAACCTCCTCCCAGTTTGCACTCTTTGAACTGGCAGTGCTGTGAAGTAGTGGCAGGCAGAGGTGCGCTGTGTCGCAGTGGCCCTGGTGGGGTCTGTGCTCAGCCAGGGGCTCGGGGGTGCTGCGAAAACAGTTCATGTTTAAGCCCATGCGTAGCATCCTGCAGGGACAGGCAGGGGTGGAGTCGATGGCCTGTGCAGCAGTCAGCTTGGTCCTGTGCTGGGGTTTGTGGCTGAACCATGCTGATAGCACAGCAGTGTTCGGCTGCTGCTGAGCAGTGCCCCACAGCCTCAAAGCCTGCCAGGTCAGCTGCTGGCAGGGTGAGTCCTGTCCCTCTGCAACACCTGCATGTTCCCCTCCTTCCTTCACTGCTCAAACCATCTCCATCCTGACCCAGAGGATTCCTCCCTGTTGCTCTTCCACTGATCCCTCAGGTTTAACCACTCACAATCCTTCGTGCATTTTCCTGTAGGTACCTGAAGTACGGCTCCGGCCTAGCCCGCTTACCACTGCCCGACATGATCCAGTATGTGCTGGAATTCGTTGCCACAAAGTCAGCTGTGGCTCTTCCTCCTTCTCAGGACTCCCAGACAACACCCCTGCAGTCCCAAACTGAGCCTTGTGTTTCAGGCATGCTTTCACAACCAAACGGGTTAGTAAACAGAAGTAAGAACAGTGTGCAGGAGAGCACTCTGCCTCTCAGCCCAGTGCTCCTGGTTTGTATCCTGAGGGCGGGTTACTTGTCTGGCACTGGGAGCATGGGGCTGGGCTGTCTGAAGGCCCACGCAAGCTTCGCTCGCTGCTTTGCTCCTGGCTTTGTTCTCTTTGTGTAAATACGATGCTGCATCTAGTCTGTTCCTTTTCCTGTTCCAAAATCATCACCATATTCCTTGCCTCTGCAGCAATTCTGAGTTAAATGATATCCTCTTTTTGGTTAGGCTACTAATTTCTTTGCTTCATTAACCAGTAAATTACTGCAATATTGGATTATTACAGGCCTGGCCAGCATGGTTGGTTTACACTCTAAATTAAGCTGAGTAAATACATGAGTTTCTTGTAGAAAGGGAAGGGATTTTTAGAACTGCTCATTGTGGAATCTGTGCTTGCAGAGTTCTGGCTTTTATTTGTCCACTACTCTTGGGTTTTGCTTCACAGCACACTGGAAAGGAGGGACAGTAGGACAGAAGATGGACCTTTCTCTTCGCTCCAGCAAGACTCAAGTGTTCCACTCCAGCCTTCTGGTGCAGCCCCAGCAATGTCTGAGCATCCAGCTCCTCATGTGGTTTCCGAGGAGGAGCTGAATCTGGTTCGGACCTGTCTGGAGCGCTGGAGAAATGAGGTCGAGCAAGACATTCAAGGTTGGCCCCAAACATATTTGTCATGATCTTTGTTGAGTGCCAGCCTGATGTCCCCTCTGTTGCTCCAGCCAGATACACCCTGAACTAGAAATAACCTTGTACACACTTCAGCTCTGCTGTCAAGTGTCTTTGGTAGTTACCACAGGGTTCAAACTTTGAGGTGGCAGGGGATGGAATAGGCTGATGAGCAGTCATGAATTCTGATGTATTTCTCTCACTTGTGATGTTCTTGGCAGATCTGAAGAGATCTATTGCCAGAATCAACCTGGCCATTGAGCAAATGTACTGTGACCCCCTCCTCCAGCAGGTAGGAGATGCAGCTGCGTTGGGGAAGTACTAAAGTGATGTTACTGTTACTGGTTTTTGTTAGGAGCTGTCAGCTGGAATTGTCCACTTTGTTGTACTTCAAAATCCCAGTGGTGAAGCAGAGAAAGGATTCTGTATGAAAATCCTGTTGCTTTTCCCTGCATGAGTCAGTTCTCACTCCGTAGGAAAGTTTACCAAATGAAGCTAGCGTCCTGCACCAGGTTACAGCTGTGAATTTACTTGTAGATTTTGCACAGAGGTCAGAGAAAACCCTTTACTGAGCATCCCACTGAGCACTGTCCGTGTGCACTTGCAGGTTCCCTATCGCTTGCATGCGGTCCTGGTACACGAAGGGCAAGCGAACTCTGGTCACTACTGGGCCTTCATCTACGACCAGCATCGGAAAAGCTGGCTCAAATACAACGACATCTCCGTGACAGAATCCTCGTGGGAAGAGGTTGAGAGAGATTCATTCGGGGGCTTGAGGAATGCCAGTGCCTACTGCCTGATGTACATCAATGACAAGATGTCCCCCCCTGTGGCAGGTACTGATGCCAGAGCTGCTGGTTAGTCCCATGCTGGTTATCACCGTGTCTCTCTAGCTGCTGTGCTCATTACATTCCTCAGCTTCTCTTTGGCACAGTTGTCCTTTGACAGCACAAAAAACTTTGCCCAGAATAGGAGTGAAATAATTTGCTCCACACTCGATTCCTTTCTAAATCCTTGGTAGGGTTGAAAAGTGAGGAATGAACTCTGCTGGTGAGAGTAGGTACAGTGCATTGTTAACATGTGGAAACATCCAGGCTGTCCCCTTTTGCCACGTTCAATATGCCTCTAAGTGCTGGTGGTTTTCACTTTGACTCTCCTTGCAGTTTCTATGACAGTGCTGCTTTTATGAGGGCATGTGAAACGCCTCCAGCTTTCTTTCTCCTGTTTTTATCACTTTCTGACTCGTTGGCTTGGGTTTTAGTGATCCCATTACACTGAACCTAAGGAGGCTGGGTTTTTATGCAGCCTTTCCTGCTGCATGAGTTTTTGGTGGCAGTGGCTTAGACTTGCAAGTGTGTGTGCAGTGCCAATGTCTGAATAGTTATGTGGAGAAATTACTGTGCACGTGGCACTATACATGGCACAGCTGTGGAAGAACCCAATAATTTCACGCGTGGTTCATTTTGATGTATTAAAGAGAAGAAACAATGGAGAACTGTCATCCTGTTCATTGCTGAATGTGGCTGATGAGGATCTGGAGGTCGTTCTTTGTCTGGTGCCTGTAACAGTTCTGTTGCTGAAATGGATCCATGGTTCGGTTTGGGGTTGGTTCTTTTTCTTCTGTTTAGTGCAGTTTCATTGGTTTTCAAAGATGATTTTGCAGTGGCTGCATAAGAAATCTCCAGTTTAGAGAGCTGCCATTTGCTTTTGGTACATTTTAGGGCTTGTCTCAAGCTGAGGCTACGGGGGTTTTGTGCTGTTTTAAAACCAATACTGAAGTAAATCTAAAAGATGTTGAAAAACCCCAGGGCACCGTTCATGCCATGGAACCCGCATAGTTCCCCAACTTTATCTGCTCTGTAGGGCCCTAGGTACGATGTCTCCACCTGGGTTGTGAGTTTTCCAGCTATTGGCAGTTGAAATACCATTCTCTGTACAATCGTAGCCCTTGAGTAAGGACCCCTTTCTGACCGACTGCATCAGCAACTGCTGCTTCTGGACTCCGTATGGTAAATGCTGTCCAGTGGTAGAACGAACTGGGTTTTGTTGCAGATAACTCTGGAGATTTGTCTGTATTTTTGCACTTGTTTTTAATGAAACATCCTAAGTTACAGAGCTAGGAGAGAGTTGGGTTTTCCCCATTTATGCCTCACCCGGTTTGAGTGCAGTGTACTCGGTCCCTCATGGTGGTGCCCTGCTGCTGTTCCGTTCCGTTCCATGCCAGCCCTGTTTCTTCCAGATGCCCCCGAGGGTGGACAGTTCCGGAAGGAAGTTGAAGACTTGCCCCTGGACCTGAGGCGCTTCATCCAGGAGGACAACTGGCGCTTCGAGCAGGAGGCCCGCGACTGGGAGGAGGAGCAGTCCTGCAAGATGTCCCAGAGGGAGCCTTCGCCCGCTTTGGACTCGCGGAACCTCTCCTCTGAATCAGGCCCAGGTAACGCCACGGCTGTTTTCTGTTCATTTAATGGCCATGGGCCACTCTCAGTTCGCTGCCAGACTGGTTTATTTCTTACACACCAAGTGGAAATGCTTCAAGTGCCGCCCTCTGGAGGGGGAGAGCATTACTTGGCCATCCCTGCTGGCACGTGCCAGACCCGCAGGAAAGGGGCACACACAAGCCTTCACCTCGGGGGTGAATGCAGCAGCAGCTCCATCCTGTGCATAGAGGCGGGGGGGGAGCGATGCTGCCGGTTGTGCTCGCTGACAGCCCCGCTCTGCCCCACAGATCTGCCCTCAGCCAGCGCCTGCCCCCTCTCCGCCGAGCACGCCCGCCTTGTGCAGGAGCAGACGGCCAAGGCCATCGCCAAGAGCGCTGTCGTCTACGACAGAAGCGGCGCCGAGGCAGCGCTCTGCGAGGTAGGACCCAAGCCTGGCCTGGGGCACCCCCCACTGTTCTCTTGTGTTGCTCTCCTTGCCTTCTCCGTGTCTGTGCGATGCTGTAGCTGTGCCGCCTTCACCCGGTGCCCTTCTGCCTTCCTGTGCTTTGCTTTACTGCTTCTTACTCTTTTTCTTCTTTTTTCTTGGCCACAGGCCAACGAGGTAGAGCCAGTGAAGGCCCAGGCGGGAGAAACAGCCCCTACGGGTCAGGCAGAGCAACCCCAGGACGCTAACGAAGCAGAGCCTGCTGCCCACAGTAGCTCACAGGTCTCTGAGGTGGAAATCCCCAGTGTGGGGAAGATTCCCGTTAAATCCGATGCAGATGGATATAATGAGGAGGTACAGATCCCAATGCAGGGGTCAGTTGCTGCTGGTCATTAACCTCTGGCTTTGTAGGTAGCTGGCTTTGAGCTTCGCTAAGGCTGGGGGCAATAGCAGTGGAAACACTGCTGCTTGCAAAGTGCCTGTTCCCGCTGTGAGAATGGACACTGCCAGACCAAATCCTTGACTAGTTTTGTGTCGAAACGGCTCCAGAAAATCAGCCCTGTAAAAGCAGCCAGTCCTTAGAGCCTGCACCTTGCTCCTGTGGGTCGTCATTCTGGCATGTCTGTGTCCAAATTGGACCCAGCTCTATTAATGTATTTACAGGCCTCCCCGCTGTCTCCAGTTACAGTTTTGTGCCTATCTCAAAGACACTGACGGCTAACAGCATGACGTAGAGCACGCAGCGGCTGAGGTTTTGAATCTGCCTGTTTAACCACACTCATACACACCCGAGCAGCACTGTGGAAGTTCGGGCTTCTCCACAAGTGACCGTTAGTCCTTGAGCACATTCAACACGTGCTTGTGTGGAGCTGGCACCACGAGCTGCTCCCCCACAGGCACTGCTCCCTCCTTTGCATGGCTGAAGAAGATTGACCTTGCCCAGAGGCACCTGGCAAGTGAGCTTTATGTTCTCACTTGTTGAGTTTACAAACTCATGGTGTGGAATGAGCAGCCTTTAGACCTTAAAGCTCCCTCCTGCATGTAAAGTGCATGTGATTGATGGAGTGAGTGGTACACCAGGAAATGGCAGCTCTGGCTTATTCTGCCTGTGTTTGTACAACTTCCCTTAAACCTTCTCTCGTGAAAGTTTCTCTGTTCTTCACCGTGCCTTCTCTTCTTTCCCTGTCTGTTCCTGTGTTCCCTGTTCCTGTTTGTTTCCCTGCTTTCCTGGTAGGTGATGCTGAGTCCAGCCATGCAAGGTGTCATCCTGGCTATTGCAAAAGCCCGCCAGACCTTTGATCGGGATGGGTCTGAAGCAGGGCTCGTTAAGGTATCTGATCTGCTTGCTGAATCCACTCATACGGATACCCATGTTCACAGAAGAAAGCATCTATGCTGCATTGACGTGTCAGGAGTGGGGAGGGAATGGTTTGTGCAGCTTTCCTTCTAGCTAACAGCCTCTTTGTCCTACATTGTGGTTTCTGCTCTCATTGTGGTGACAGAGCCGTGGGTTCTAAACAGTCTTTGGACTGTGTAAGAAAGAGCCCGCTCCCCTGGGGGAAGCCACCTCCTGCCTTTCTCTTTTCACTTTCTGCTATTTCTCCTGCTTATTCTTTTAGCATCAGTAGTTCCTGCGGCCTGGGTACCACAAAGTAGCCTTTCTTTGGGTGCCTTTCAGAGCCTGTTGTCTAGGCAGGAAACAAACCAGCACTCATGAAGTTTTGTTGGTCCTGAGCATGCTTTCTGTGACCTCTCTTGTTAAACGTGTCCTTGAGAGATGTCTGCATTGAGTAGAGGGGTCAGAAGGAGTAAGTACTGCTGCATGTTGAAGCTGGGGTTAGATTTTACGAGCAGGTAGATGGAGCTAAGTGTGCCACATGGGAGAAGCAACCCGTGCTGTTAATCTACAGGAACATGAATCACGAGACAGTCTTGCACCTCACTACAGGAACAGGCGTGTTACAGTTGATTTGTACAAGGTGAGGGCTGCCAGAGCTGCCTGGGGCACCTGTACCCGTGTTAGCGCTTGTGCTTTGTTGGCAGGCGTTCCACGAGGAGTATTCCCGACTCTACATGCTTTCCAAGGAGATCCCGAGCCCTCGGAACGACACCCGGTTGCAGCATGTGCTCATCTACTTCCTGCAAAACCACGCTCCGCAGCAGATAGTGGAACGGACCCTCCTGGAGCAGTTTGCAGACAGAAACCTCAGCTACGATGAAAGGTTTGTGCCCCAGTTCTGAGGTGAGGCTTCTCCTGGGGCGTCACTCTTCTGATCCCAGTCTTGTCTCTGCTTACACTGAGCAGGTCCATTAACATCATGAATGTAGCGCGAGCAAAGCTGAGAGAGATCGGTCCTGAAGATGTCAATATGGAGGAGTACAAGGTAAGGGCCCCCAGTGCTGCCCCTGATCCCTCAGTTGGCCCTGCCCAGGTGGGGAGCAGTTGCTGGCACGGCTGTGGGCACACGGTGGTGTCGGCCGCAGGGAGCTGAGCGGGAGGCAGGGCACACAGGAGCCCTCGCTGGCTGTGCAGCTCACTGCACTGATCCCTGTGTCACTTGCGAGAGGTGTCTGAGCCCTTCAGAGCGCGGGATGTGATCGCTTGGGCGCTGGGGAGGAATGTGAGGTGTGTGTTGTGGGTGATGCTGACGCTCTGCTTCCTCGCAGAGGTGGCACCAGGACTACAGCCTCTTCCGCAAGGTGTCCATTTACCTGCTGACAGGGCTGGAGCTGTACCAGAAGGAGAAGTAAGTCCCTTCAGCTGTGCACTCGGGTGAGATAAGCTGTGGCCTGACAGTAAAGGCCACTTGGACAGGCTTCATCTTCGTGACCTGTGGTGGCCTCTCTGTCTTCAGTCATGTATTTGTGGCCAGCAGGCTTTCTTGTAGCTTGCTGATAGCCCTTTCTGGCATCTGCAGTCAGCCATGCTTAGCACTTGAGATATTTAGCAGGTTCTTAGAGCTCCCCCTAATTTATCCACTGTGAAGCATTCCCAGGGGTGGGTTTGCAGAAACAAGGGCCCCTTTGGACTCCCGTATTAAAACTAAACTTGAATTGGGCATTTTACTTTGTGTAAACACGTGCTTTGGAGTACTCTAGGCACTGAAGAACTTTAAAAAGGCCTTGGTTTTCCTCCTCACTGTTTCAGAACCTGTATTTTACATGAACACAGTGCAGTGTGGGGCCAGACAGTGCCAGTGTGTGAAGGATTTGTAATTGGGAAATGGATTTTTCTGATCCAGGAAATAAACTGGCTTTCAGAAGCTCTTTGTGGGTGGAGGCAGAATCAAGTCCTGAGGGGGTTAGAAGTGAGGAGACCCCAGATTCAGGTGGGCAGGTTGCCAAGAGGCAGGCTGAGAGCTTCCCTGGCCTGACCCGACCCCTGTCAGCTGTGCTGTTTTCTCACTGGGGGGGTAGAGGCTACGAATGTGCTCAGGAGCTGGGCATGCTGCATGCTGCTGCTGCTGCTCCTGCTGCTGCTGCTCCTGCTGCTCCTGTTGCTCCTGCTGCTGCTGCTGCTGCTGCTCGCAGAGGGCAAATGTCCTGGAGCAGTCCCGAAAGCGTCAGCACTGGTGGTCGTGCTCGGGTGCATCACACTCAGACTTGGCTTTAAAGGGATGGGCCTGAGGTGCTCATTGGCGCCCTGGGCAAAAAGGAGCATTAATTCCTGGGTGGAGGGCATCTGTTCGTTTAGGGTTTGGCAGTGAAATGAAGCTCTTCCCGTTGGGCCTGATGGTAGTTACCATCCAGGCCAAGAGGAAAGTGTTTCCTCTCTTCGCCTAGGTACCAGGAGTCACTCAGCTACCTGGTGTACGCCTACCAGAGCAACACCAAGCTGCTGGAGAAGGGCGTCATGAGAGGAGTGAACGAATCCCTGATTGCCTTCTACAGAAGGAATTGTCTCCTGGTCAGTAGGCTCGTTTCTGGAGGGGCAGGGAGGGAGCAGCCCGTCCTACAGTTCGCTTCCCCACTGCTCTTGGGCATTGCCCAGGGGGTTGGACCCCTCTTAGGGGTGTCCCCTTTCAGGAACACATAATGAACACGCCACATGTTTGGGTGCTGCTGAGCGTGCTCTTGGCTGTTACCTCGGTGCTTGTGTTAACTCAGTGATCACGTTGGTTTCTGTCCATTCCCATCCCTCTCCCCCAGTATTTATTTCTGATATTAACAGCCTGCTATCTCTGAGCAAATGATGATTTCCTGTTCCTCCGGGGGCTAAACAACAGCGTCAAAATGAGGTCTGCTTTTAGTTCACGCTCGTGCTTGCCAAGACCCCAGTTTGCTTTCTGTGGTGTGCACCTGGCACTGGTTCTGTCAGTCTCTGCATGGTCCCCGAGCTGTGACCCTTCCTGACAGCATGCTGGTGATGTGTGCTCTGTGCTTGCTTGTCACAGCTCTGTCCCCTGATTCTCCCTCCTCCCCTAGAAGCTGAATGAAGAGGCAGCAACTATGTTCATAAGCTCTGAAGAAGCTCGTGTGGCAGAGGGCATTAGCATCCTGAACGAGCTGATCATCCCCTGCATGCACCTCATGAGCACCTTTGAGATCTCCAGGGAGGACATGGATGCCATCGAGGTCATGAGAAACCGTTGGTGCTCCTATTTGGGTCGTGAAGACATGAACGGTAGGGCATGGTGCTGGGCTTGCCTTTGCTGTGGCTTTGTGAGCAGGGTGATGTCTAGGCCTGAACTCCTCTTCAGGAGAGAGCAAGGGAATTTAGCAGGGGCCAGGAGCACAGCCAGAGCTGCAGAATCCTGGCGGGGGGAGCAGATCCAGGGGTCTTTGTGTGGTGCTTTAGAGCTGGCTTTACTGGGAAAGCCGATGCTGTGCCCCAGATCACCTGGGGTGTCCCTGCTCTGTGGGCCCCGGGCAGGGCTGGGTTCTGACACCGCTCACCCCTGCCCTCGGGAGCCAGAAGCCGATCCTGTAACCCCCATCATGGCTTTGTAGCCCACAGCCCCAGAGCCGTCTGGGGTCTTAACTCTTGCGCTGCCACTGAGTGCCTCCTGCTCTCCCCTCTACAGCAGACCTGCAGGTGAAGCTGGGTGAGGTCCTGCCCCGGCTCCTCGACTGCCCCAGTGGAGTTGTCGTCCTGAAGGAGCCGCCAAAGATCCGGCCCAACTCCCCCTACGACCTCTGCAGCCGCTTTGCGGCTGTCATGGAGTCCATCTACGGCACCTCGAGCGTCAGGGTGAAGTAGCCCGAGGCTGCGCCCCCCGCGTCCTCCGCCGGCAGCACTGGGGAGGGACGGGGTGGCTCAGAGTTCTGCTGCTCTACGTGGGATGTGGTGATGCAGGCAGGCTTGCACTTCACTCACCACATAAAGCGGGGTTCTGCTTCCACAGCTTCCTGGGCATGGATCCTGAGGCCTGTGACAGCCACAGAGCAAGGGTCCGCTCCTCTGGTGAGCAGCCACGAGCTGCTGTTGGCCTTCACATCATCCTGAGGGATGAGACAAGAAGTGCAGGTCTTGCCAAGCTCCTGCTAGCAGGAGCTGGGGCTGTGTCGTCAGGAAGCAGGGATGGCAGGTGGCTCCCGCTCTGTTCTATGGGCAGCTGAGTGTTCTGGTTAAGCAAAGCAGGTTTGGGGTTTTTTTGTTTTGCCCAGCAGGAGCAGATACACAGGAGTCTTCCTCTGAAAGCATGAGAGGAGGGCATTCTCTTCTGCCTGGCTAAGGGAGTTCCAGGGGACATGCCCACCTCAAATGTCCTTCTCCCCTCAGGGGGCTCATTGTCAGATGAGCATTGACAACCACTGAGGGCTGCAGTGGGCTCCTTTTCTGTGGTGTTGGGCTTTTCATGTTGATGTTCTGTAAAACAAGTGCCCCGTTTGCGTTCCCTTGGTGGGCACCTGTGTTTGCGTTGGGTGGCGGCGGTTGTTGGGACCCTGTTTGTTCAGACTATGCAGAGTTGTTCTGAAAGTGCAATAAAAGCATTTGTTCTATGTTAGAATGAAAACGCTTCCCTTGTGGTTTCACTCCACTCTGGTGTACGGGGCACGGGCTCATCTTGGGTCCCTGGGAGGCCACCGGGCCAGAGGTTTCCTGTGCTTTAGCCAAAGCCCCTCTGTGTTTGGTGCCCCTGAGCCCAGCCTGGCATGGAGCAGGCGTGCAGAGGAGCGGGTCCTGAGGAAGCGCCTGTGTTCACTGTCAATGCCAGAGTCTCTCTGAGCCCTTTCCCCCTGCAAGCTCCACTGCAGGAGTCCAGGGGCTTTTGCTAGAAGAAGCCTGCACTTGAGTAAAGAGGAGGCACAATTGCTCCCTTCCTGCAGCCAAAACCTCAGTTTTCTTCATTAATGAGGAACTGAAACATTTAATTACCTATTGAGCTGATACCATGACCCTGTGTTGTAATGACACCCTCCTGCCTGCCGCTGCTGGCTCTGCTCTGACCAAGCACAGGTTTCTTGTCAACAGCACAGGAGGAGGGAGACCCAGAGACACGCAGGGGTGGGGATTTATCCCAGCACACTGGACACGTGTTCCCCAGGACTCATTCCTAGCACCAAACTCATTGTAATGAGCAGAGCTCTCAGAAGGGGGATCGTCAGCATGGTCCCACCCTGCTGTCTGTGTGCAGCTCCCTGTTGTTCAGGAACAAACGGCTCCCAAGGGATAATCCTGCATCCTTCTGGTGGTTTTACATGAGGCAGAAGTGCCATTAGCTGCAGGGACTGTCGAGGCCCCAACAGCTGGGCCTGTGGCAGGCCCTGAGATGCTGCAGAGCTGCTGCTGCTTTCTCTGCTTTGTCCCCCATTGCAGTGATGGAGAGCAGAGGGAGGAGACCTCCATCCTGCTTCTCAGGGCTTTGGCTGCAGCAGGTGAGAATGGGATGCTTTGCTCACCCCTCCCAGCCAGCAGCCCTTTCATTTCCAGACAGTGTTTGCAATGCTGTGTGTCATTGCAATACGCAGGTGGTAGGATGTGGTTTGGGGAGAGAATCTGGTTCTTCTGACCCTCCCAAGATAATGGCTTTGCCCTGTTCTCTCTGGTGCTGCAGGAAGTGAAATGTTCACATACCCGAAGCTTGCTTTAAAACAAAGCAGCAAAGGCTTCCCAGGAGCACAGGTGAGTGCCTGGCAAGTCACAATGCTTGGGTTGAGCTGGAGCCATGGGGTGCGCTGCGCTTTGCACAGCACGCTCCCATCCCTTGTTCTTCCTCCCTCGATCCCTTGCTCTTCCTCAGGAAGGGCTGAGCACCCACCTCTCCCCCCTTGGCTCTCGGGCCAGCCGCAAGCCCGGGCAGTGTGAGAATCACCGAGGGGTGATCCCCTCCTCTGGCTCCTTCCTCTCCTCTCAATGAGCAAAGTGCGGGTTTCGAAAGGGACCTGGTGTAGGAGAGAGGACTTTGCTTCCCGCAGGAATGCCGGTGTCGGTCGGGGGCTTCCTTTGGAGCAGTCACGCGCCCGTGGCGCTGAGCTGCAGGGATTAAACCAGTGGTGAACTGAGGTTTTAACCAGTGCTGTAGCAGGGGGCTGGCCTCTGTCGGGATGCCGGGTGTTAGTCCAGGCTGATGGTCCAGGCTGCTGGTCCCCCAGGGGTGTGCAAGCAGGCTTTAGTTTTACAGCTGGGTCAGGAAAAGGTGGAAGAAGCAGTTAAGGAGAGCCACCAAACACCCTCTCACCTCTTTGCACAGGTAGTGGTTGCAGCTGAGGAGCTTCCTGCAGAGGGTCTGTGGCACACTGAGAACTTTATGTCTTAGCCCCGAGAAGACGAGGCTACTGCAGGGGATGCAGCCACTGGTGTCCTGCTCTGCAGCAGGAGCCATCTCTGGTACCACCTCATCTCTTGTTTTCCCTCTCCCCTTGTTTTCCACCCTTCCCTCTTCAACGCCCACCCCCAAGTCTTTTCTGGACAGACCGAACAGCACTGCCCCTTGCAGCTCCCATCCTCCATCCACACTCGTGCTGCATCTCATGCAAGAGGCAGCTGTACGCTCAGAGCACAGAAACACGCTGCTGGCAGCTGTGATAATTTATTGTGGGTACATCACAGTGATAGGGACACACACGGAGTGAGAAGCTACTCCGGAGCGTCGCCATTGACCGCAATGGACTTGGCAATGGGGGTCTAGCAAGGGATGCTGCTGCTGCCTCAGCCACAGGTGCCTCTGCTCCGGTGTCGCTGCTGCTGCTCTGCCCCTGCCTTGCTGCCCGCTCGAAGCCCTTGCTCCTTTGGAAAGGAAGCGCGAAGCAGGCGCACAGAGGGAGGGGAAGCCCGGCCGCAGCAGTGAGCGCATCACCTCCAGAGCCAGCCGGAGCCCCTAGATGACCAGGTCTGCGGGCTTGGGGAGCGGGTGGTGGCCCGCGGCGGGGGGCTGGCGGCAGGCGGGGACCGGCGGCGTCGAGGCCCTCGTGGTGCGGGCGCTGCAGGCGAGGAGGAGCCCGCCGGCGGCGAGGAAGGCTCCGGCGAACCAGCCCAGGAACGTGGCCTCCCCGAACTCCCAGCGGGGCACGATGTCGGGGACGGTGCTGTCCCAGAAGTCGAGGACGGTGTTGTAGGCGACCCAGGACACCGGAGCCAGCGTGGCCATCCCGGCCGTGCCGAACGTCGCTCCCCCGGCGAGCAGGAGCCGCCGCTTCAGCCGGGGCTTGTCTTCGCAGGGGGTCCATGCCTCCAGCCCCGGCGCGGCCAGGAGGGCCCCCAGCAGCCCCAGCCCGTTGGAGAGGCACATCAGGAGGCGGGAGACGCGCAGCTCGGGGGGCAGCGCCAGGAAGGAGCCGTGGGCCCGGCACTCGACCACCCCCTCCTCGCGGGCGATGCAGACCTGCCAGAGCCCCATGGTCCACACCTCCAGCTCGTTCAGGTCCAGGTTGAGGCTCTTCCAGAGCGGCACGAAGGTGGTGACACAGGACGAGACCCACCCGAGCAGCGCCAGCAGCATCCCCCCCGCCTGCGCCTTCGCCCGCCAGCTCCCGGCCATGCCCACGCCGGCCGCCGAGTGCGCGCCGGGCCGGGCCAAGCCGCCCTGAGCGGCGGCCGCGGGCATTAACGCTGGCGGAGCAGCGCCGGCCGCGCCTGCAGCCCGGGGCGGCCGATCCAAGCCCGCTCCTCCGCCGCCGGGGTGTGGCCACCGTCATCTTCCAGCCGCCCTCGGCTTCCCCGCGCTCCGCAGCCAAGCCGGGCTCGTCCCTCCGTGCTGCGGCCCCGCTGCCGCGCCGGGCCGGGAGCGTTCAGCCGAGGCCACCCGGAGCCCTGGCAGGGACGGAGCCTCCCGGCAGCGCAGCTCCAGCCGTGGTGGGGCCGGGAGGGGACCCCGAGGGGGGATGCGGGCAGCAGGGAGCCGGCGTCAGGCTCCTCGCAGAGGCACCGACCCGCACGCACGCGTTAAATTAATCAGAAAAGGAGCCTTGAGAGCTGCGCTGAGGACGCAGGGAGGGGGAGGCTTTGCCCGCTGCTCACAGATGGGCACCGATGGCCCAGCCCTGCACCCTGACCCTCACCAGGGACAGGGCTCCTGGTGCCTGACGTCGGGGAATGCTGCCCTGCGAGAAGGTGCCCGAAACATGGATGGGGAAAGGATGGGCAGCACCGCCAGGAAAATCCCAGCTTCAGCTCCCACCCGCCCCCTCCATGTCCCTCCCTGGGGTCCCGCGGCAGATTCATCTTCCCCGGGAGATTAGTGACTAATCTCTCCATCATCTGCCGTCTTTCTTATCAACGGGATACCGAGGCCCAGCCTGGAAATTACCAAGTCCTGCTGGTGCCAGGGTCCAGCCCCGGGGAGCACTGGGACGGGACTTCTAAAGGGGCTCCCAGAAGGAGGGGGTGAGGAAGCACGGACCGCTCAGGAGAGGGGGGATGTTTTCCAGCCCTTGCTGACCATCCCATCCCCAAGAGCGGAAGGGAAGCATCATCCTGAGAGCAGGGAAATCCACTGGGAAACCCCTCCTGCTCCTTCCGCCTGGCTTTGGGGCGCCTGCTCCTTCTGATTAAATCATCTCAAGGTAATTGTGCCTGTCGTTGAGACAGATTAACAGGCCACCTTCTGCTGCTGGAGCGGGATTGGCGGCTGCCACCGAGCTCCCAGTGCTTCCCTCCCACTGGCCACGGCGGAGGATTCCCATCCGCAACCGGTGGGAAGATGCCCGGTGGCTGCCAGGGCAGAGCGGGAGCCACCACCCGAGATCAGCGCCTGCCGGCGCGGCGGCCGCTCCGCATGGACACGAGGTGGGTGCCCCTCGCCCAGGGGTCTGCGCAGGGCTGGGGGCAGGAGGTGGATCGGAGGCTGACGTCCTCCATCGCCGCGACGAGGACGCTGGGCCTGCTGCTTGGCAGAGGCGAGGCGAGGGGATGCTGGGAGGAGGCAGCGTGTCCGTGCGGCTCATCCCTGCGGCTCGCTGCTCTCCAAGATGTGTGCCAGGAACGTGACCTCCCATTGCAGCCCCTGCGGGGACCGGGCTGGACCCAGCCTGCCCCAGGGAGCGCAGCAGTGGGGTCTGTGTGTCCATCATGGGCTGCCCTTCCTCCTGCCCCAGGGCCGCCTGTCTCTGCCTGCAGCTCAGCAGAGAGCTGGCAAGTACAGGCAGGGCCCAGGGCGTGCATGGAGCTCGGCTGCGGGTGCTCTCCCAGTCCTTGCCCACCGCCGGGGCTGCTCCCCGCGGAGGCGGGCGCCTCCTTGCCGGTCTCTGCAATGCAATTACAGCCCCTAATGGGCTTAGCCATCTGCTGCCAGTCCGTGGCCACCTCGGCACTGCTCCATGGCTGGCACATGCACTGCCGGGCAAGGGCAGCCACAGCAGACCCTGCCCCTTGGAGAGGCACCCTCCATGTCCACAGTAACCCTCTGCTTTCTGTGCTCCATAGCAGGACCCTGTGCCCAGCCCGGGGCTGAGCCCCGGCCCCGGCCCCGCCATGGTGCTCCCCTGCACCCACAACAGCATTGGCAGCGGCCGGCCGGCACTCGAGGAGCCCCGCGGCCGCAGCAACTCCATCCCCGCGGCGCAGACCCCCACGGCCAAGCACATGCTGGCCTACCTGCCGCGGCCGCCCACCGACACCAGCCGCTACGGCACCTTCCCCCAGAAGGTACGGACCGGATTGCACCGGGGCTCTGGGGCATCCTCTGGGCAGGATGCCACCGCGGTGCTGCCCAAAGTCATTGCTCACCAATGGGCTCCTTTCCCCCCTTGCAGCCCGATCCCCCGGCTGCCCCCAGTGCTGTAGCAGAGGACAGCCGCCCGCAAGCCGCCGCCACTGCCAAGAGAAGCGTCCTGATGCCAAACTACCCATCCCCCCCCCGCCACAGCAGCATCACCCCCAGTGAGCCGTTCCTGCTGCGGAGCCACGGCAGCGTGGCCGCCCCACACCATCCCGGTGACCTGCCCTGGTGCCCGCCGGCCGCCGTGCAGGAGAGCGGTGCCCGCTGGTGCCCGCTGCACGCCCTGAGCGTGGCCAACATCCCCAGCTCGGTGCGCGGCAGGACCCCTGCCCGCAGCAGCGCCGCCACCGCCGTGCCCACCGCCGAGGGGCTGCAGGGCCGGCGCCGCAGGCTGCTGGAGGAGGATGGCCCCGTGCTCCAGGCTGGCAAGCGGCAGCGGCAGCGCTATGTGACGAAGGTGGGCAAGTGCCAGGTGAACCTGGGCAACATCCAGGAGAAGAAGCGGTTCCTCTCGGACATCTTCACCACCATTGTGGACCTCAAGTACCGCTGGTTCCTCTTCGTCTTCATGATGTGCTACATCGTCACCTGGGTGGTGTTTGGCACCATCTACTTCTTTGACGCCTGGGTACGGGGCGATGTCGGGCACCGGGGTGATCCCGAGTGGCCGGCGTGCATTGAGAACATCGACGGCTTCGTGTCCGCCTTGCTCTTCTCGGTGGAAAGCCAGCGCACCATCGGCTACGGCTCCCGGATGGTGACGGCCAACTGTGCCGAGGGCGTCATCCTGCTGATGGCACAGTCCATCGTGGGCTCCATGATCGACGCCCTCATGGTGGGCTGCATGTTTGTCAAGATCTCCCGGCCCAAGAAGCGCGCCCAGACCCTCATCTTCAGCAAGAACTGCGTCATCTCCCGGCGGGACGAGCAGCTCTGCCTCATGTTCCGTGTGGGGGACCTGCGGGACAGCCACATGGTGGACGCCAAGATCCGGGCCAAGCTCATCAAGTCCCGGCAGACGGCCGAGGGCGAGTTCATCCCCCTGGAGCAGTCGGAGCTGAACCTGGGCTACGACACGGGCGAGGACCGCCTGTTCCTGGTGGAGCCGCAGATCATCTGCCACGTCATCAACCACCGCAGCCCCTTCTGGGACATGTCGGCCGAGTCGCTGCGCCGGGAGCAGTTCGAGATCATCATCATCCTCGAGGGCATTGTGGAAGCCACAGGTGGGTCTGTGGGGTTGGGGAGGGAACCTGGGCTTGGGGTTGGCATCCCCCTGGCAATGGGTGACCAGGGCTGGAGACCCCTCGTGGGGCAGCGGGTGGCTCGTTGGGGTACCCTGGCACTGAGGTGCTGCCTCACCCCAGGGATGACATGCCAAGCCCGCACCTCGTACACGGAGGATGAGATCCTCTGGGGGTACCGCTTCGAGCCCTGCATGTCCCTGGAGAAAGGCGCCTTCCGGGTGGACTACAGCCGCTTCGAGATGACCTTCGAGGTGCAGACGCCGGTGGCCAGCGCCAAGGAGCTGCACGAGCTGAAGGAGCTGGAGCAGCAGGAGCACTCCACGCTCAGCCTCTACTGGGACCATCTCCTGCAGCCCTGCGCCCTGCCGGGGCCCGCGGACGACGCTCTGCCAGGGCTGAGCAACCCCGGGAGCCGGGACGAGCTGCTCGAGAAGGGGGGCAGTGCCTGAGCCGTGCCCGGTGGGAGCCCAGCACCGACAGTGCCATAGCCCACCCTCGCCCCCGGGGCACAAAGCAGGACAGCGGGTGATGGACGGGTGATGGGCGGGTGATGGACGGGTGATGGATGGGTGATGGACGGGTGATGGACGGGTGATGGACGGGTGATGGACGGGTGATGGACTTCTCTGCATTAAACCCTGCCCACCAATAAATGAGCTCTGTGTGTGTACTGTGTTGGTGGGGGCTGTTCACACCCGCAGTGGGTGTGAGGCAGGAGGGCAGGGTGGCCAGAGCCCAAACACCCCATCCCATGCACAGGATGAGACCCCACGCAGGGCTCCAGAACCCCATCATCGCCCCATGGACCCAGACATTGTCCCACAGCACCCCCTCCCACGGTACCCTCCAGGCCCTCACTCCCATCATGGAACTGTCACAGCTGGGGGGGGGCGAGGCTGGGGCACAGCCTGATGGGCTGAAATCAGTGGGGTTCATCAGTTAATGGGGTGGGCCTATGCAACCTTCATGGGGTCCAGCACCTGCAGGGTCCTGTGCTTGGTTCAGGGCAATCCCCAGCACAGACACAGACTGGGGCTCTGCTCTGCTGAGAGAGCATCCATACACATCCCCCCCACCCCAGTCCTGCATCCAGCTTTGGGGGCAGCAACCTCAGAGCAGCTCCAGTGCCCAAAGGGGCTGCAGGAAACCTGGGGAGGGGCTTGGGACAAGGGCCTGTAGGGACAGGCTGAGGGGAATGTCTTGAACCTGCCCGAGGGGAGACTGAGCTGAGCTCTTAGGCAGAAGCTCTTGCCTGTGAGGGTGCTGCAGCGCTGGCACAGGGTGCCCAGAGAAGCTGTGGCTGCCCCATCCCTGGCAGTGCTCAAGGCCAGGTTGGACACAGGGGCTTGGAGCAAGCTGCTCCAGTGGAAGGGGTCCCTGCCCGTGGCAGGGGTTGGAGCTGGAGGAGCTTTAAGGTCCCTTCAACCCAAACCAGTCTGTGCTGAACCAGTGCAGCGAAGCTGGTGCATGGGCACCTTGGGCACACACACACACACACACACACACACACACACACACACACGTTGCGACTCAATCTCAAACCCACACCCTTTCAAACAGTAAAGCCTATACCTAAAGACCATGGTGTCTTTTTTACCACCTTTATGCACTGCAAACAGGGGATCAGAGAACCAAAGCACCACTATGCATATTGATGACGTCTAAAGGCTTAATTTGCGTGTTAACTAGACATCGTTAACATGACAATGACCCTGCCTGCACCAATAGCCGGTGCGATCTCTGTTCCTGCGCAGATGTTCGCCTCCCGGAGCCCCACGCACCCTCCGTTACCGGACGAGCCGCTCAAGGCTCGCCCGCGCGGGTCCGTGTCCCCCCGCTCCGTGTCATCGGCCCTCCAGGCCGCCAGGGGGCACTGCCTCCCGCCGCGACTGTCCGTGCGCCACCCCGGCCGCTCCTCAATAGCACCACCCCCTCTTCCGGCGCATGGTGGTGACGTCATTGTAGTGCGACGCGGTGACGCGCAGTGCTGTCCGGCGGCGGAGGTGAGTAATCGCTCCGGGCCCGGGGCTCCGGCCCCGGCCCCCCGGCTCCCCGGCCCCGGCCCCCCGGCTCCCCGGCCCCGGCCTCGGCCTGGCGGAGGTTTCGCGGCAGTGCTTGGTTCCCGGCCTCGCTGCCGGGGCCCCCTCGCGCTGCCAGCGGCTCTCCCCGCAGCCCGGCCCCCCCGCATGGCGCGGCGCTGACGGGAGATGACCGACCAGGAGAACAACAACAGCATCTCCAGCAACCCCTTCGCCGCCCTCTTCGGCTCCGTCGCCGCCGCGAAGCACTTCGCCGCCGTCCAGAAGCAGCAGCAGCTGCGGCAGCTGACAGGTCCGGGGCGCGGGGCCGGCGGCGGGGGGCGCTGTGCCCACCGGAGCGCTGAGCGCCTTCCTTGTCCCGCTGCTTGCAGGCGATGAGACCTCGGTCAGCCAGGATGACTCCGACAACAGCGTCTCCGAGAGCCTGGACGACTGCGACTACTCGGTGGCCGAGATCAGCCGCTCGTTCCGCTCGCAGCGGGAGCTGTGCGAGCAGCTCAACATCAACCACATGATCCAGAGGATCTTCCTCATCACCCTCGACAACAGTGAGTGCTGGAGCCGTTCCCCAGCACCAGAGGGGTGGCTCCGAGCCGGGGAGCTCCACTGTGAAGGGCAGAGAGGGGGGAGCTGTGAGGGGAGCATCACTTTGCCTTCAGGTTCTGCTGCCCCCCTGCACAGTCTGTGTCCCTCTGGGTGAAACGGGTCCCTCCGTGTCTGTCTCAGGTGACCCCAGCATGAAGAGCGGGAATGGGATCCCAGCGCGCTGCGTCTACCTGGAAGAAATGGCTGCGGACCTGGACGCCCAGGACTGGCTGGACATGGACAACGTGGAGCAGGTAGGGCTGCCTGCTGCAGGCTCCAGGTCTTTTACTGCTGTGGCACTAGGAACAGTGTTTGTTTCCTTGTGGCACATCCCAGATGCAGCCTGTCTGCTGCCGCTCTTAAGAGAGTGGAGACTCTGGTGGAGCTTTCAGCTTAGTGCCCTGTTACTTAAGGAGGGATGGAGAGAGCTTTTCCGAGCATAAACAAGGGGGTGCCAGCAGGCTGTTTCCCAGAGGAGTTGTCTCCTTGTCCTCACTTCCCACCCACCTCTGCCCAGGCCCTGTTCGCCCGCCTGCTGCTGCAGGAGCCTGGAAGCCACCTGATTCACATGACGTCCAGCAGCACACAGAACCTCTCTGCTGACCGGGACGCTGGGGAGAGGCAGATCCTGCGCTACCTCTATGCCTGTTTCCAGAGGGCAAGAGAAGAGGTTGGCAGGGGCTTCAGAGGAGGAGGGTGGCTTTGTCACTCGGCGTTCTGTGCTGAGGTGGCTGAGCTGAGGTTTTAGAGGCCAGGAGCAGATGCCAGGGCCCCAGCTCTGTCTCCTTGTGCAGATAACCAAGGTCCCAGAGAACCTGCTGCCCTTTGCCGTGCGCTGCCGGAACCTGACCGTGTCAAATACTCGCACCGTGCTCCTCACCCCGGAGATCTACGTCAACCAGAACGTGTATGAGCAGCTGGTGGACCTGATGCTGGAGGCACTGAGAGGGGCCCGTAAGTCCAGCTGAGTGGAGCAGAGCCTGGGCTGCCCCTGATCCTAAAAGGGAAGGCAGCGTTTAGGCTGCAGCACCTGTAGCACGCTGCAATTCTTGCTTCCCTGCCAGAGTTTGAAGACATGACCGAGTTTCTGGAGGAGGTCATAGAGGCCTTAACGATGGACGAGGAGGTGCGGACGTTCGGGGAGGTGATGGTTCCCGTGTTTGACATCCTGCTGGGCAGAATCAAGGACCTGGACCTCTGCCAGATCCTGCTCTACACATACCTCGACGTGCTCCTCTACTTCACCAAGCAGAAGGACATAGCAAAGGTGATTGCCTCAGCCTGGTCAGGAGCTCCCCGCAGCAGCATGTTTGTAGGACATAATCTGGGGAGGTCAAACAGCAGTTCAGTGTAACAACATCCTGCATGTGCTCTTTCACCCCTCTCCTCCCTTCCTTTTGCCTGTCCCAAAGCTGTCAGTTTGTGTTTGTTTTCATTTCACTGGGATTTTACACAGCTGTCAGCATGCCCTGCCATGTCCCCCAGGTTTTTGCAGGCTACATCCAGCCCAAGGATCCCAGCAATGGACAGATGTACCAGAAGACTTTGCTAGGCACCATCTTAAATATCTCCTGCCTGCTGAAGACCCCCGGTGTCGTGGAGAACCATGGCTACTTCCTGAACCCATCCCGATCCAGCCCGCAGGAGATCAAAGTGCAGGAGTCCAACATCCATCAGGTGAGCTGAAGCACAGCAGTGCTTCCCAGTGTGTTTGGGTGGCCTCTTGGTGCCTGAGAGTTAAAGATGTGGTATCGGGGCTTGAGTTCCACCCTGGCTCCTTCATAATCCCTCAAACATGTTCTGTTCCTGCAACAGTTTATGGCCCAGTTCCATGAGAAGATCTACCAGATGCTGAAGAACCTCTTGCAGCTGTCCCCAGAGACAAAGCACAGGATCCTCTCCTGGCTGGGAAACTGCCTCCATGCCAATGCGGGACGCACCAAGATCTGGGCAAACCAGATGCCAGAGATCTTCTTCCAGATGTACGCCTCGGATGCCTTCTTCCTCAACCTGGGAGCTGCCCTCCTGAAGCTGTGCCAGCCCTTCTGCAAACCCAAATCTGCCAGGCTGCTGACCTTCAACCCTACCTACTGTGCCCTGAAGGAGCTGAACGAAGAGGAGAGGAGGAGTAAGAACGTACACATGAAAGGTGTGCCCAGACCCTGGGGGAGCAAGGGAAAGGCAAGGGGAATCTCCTCGGGTCCCTGCTGCTCCCAGTAGTGCCCTCCCCTTGTGTGTGGGTAAAGGGAGAAGACTGGGGAGGAGCAAGGGGAGAACTGAGCACAAAGAACAGGCTGCCCGGCATCACCAGCTGTTCTGTGTCTTCAGCAGGGGCCCTCTTGAGCTCTTGACACAGGGACACTTTTCATTCCAGGTCTGGAAAAGGAAACGTGTTTGATACCCGCTGTGAGTGAGCAGGAGCCTGAGTTTGCCAACAGCTACAACCTGGTAACAGAAAACCTAGTCCTCACACAGTACACCCTTCACTTGGGGTTTCACAGGTGAGTGCTTGCAGATACCCCCAGGGCTGTTCCCACCCCTGTGCTAAGCTATCAGTGAATGCTCAGAATGCAGAGCTGGCAGCTTGAACTGCTGAGTACCAAGCGCTGAAGTTTTGGCCTCAGGCTAACTGAATTTGGAAGGACTTCCATTTGCTGGTGCTCACAGGCACTGACAGTCCATCAGGTGCCACACTGCTTATAGAAACCTGACAGCCAAATGCTGGGTGCTGTGGGTCACTTGCCTCCCCCTCTCCTTGGGGAACAGGCTGCAGGCATCTCACTTCTCCCCTAGAAAGCCTCTGCATCAGGGCTCCTGCCCCTGCGAGCTGCCCAAACCAGACTGCATGGGAAGCACAGACAGGCTCCTGTTGTCCACTTCCAGGAAAGGGTTTCTCTGGACGCTGTAGCACAC